GAATTGTTTTCATATATTCTTTCTCAGTTTGTTCATTATTAAGGTATAGAAATGCTAATGGTTATTCTATGTTGATTTTATATCCTGCTACCTTGCTATAGCTACTGATGGTGTCTAGGAGCTTTTGAGTAGAGTTTTTTGGGACTTTAAGGTATAGGATCATATCGTCTGCAAATAGTTTCTTTACTTATTTGTATTCCTTTACCTATTTGTATTCCTTTTATTCCTTCTTCTTGCCTAATTGCTCTGGCTAGGAATTCCAGTACTATGTTAAATAGGAGTTGGAGATAGTGGGCATCCTTGTCTATTCCTGATTTTAGAGGGAAGGTTTCAGTTTTTCTCTGTTAAGTATAATGCTGGCTGTAGGTTTGTCATATATAGCTTTTATATGTTGAGGTACTTTCCTTCTTTCCTAGTTTTCTTAGAGCTTTTATTAAATGGTGTTGGATCTTATCAAAGGCTTTTTCTGCATCTATTGAGATGATCAAGTGGTTTTTGTCTTTGCTTCTGTTAATGTGGTTTTTTTTTTTATTGATTTTCGTATGTTGAACCACCCTGCATTCCTGGGATGAAGCCTACTTGGTCGTGGTGAAAATCTTTTTGATGTGTTGTTGAATTAGGTTTGCCATTATTTTATTGAGGATTTTTGCGTATGTTCATTAAGGAGATTGGCCTATAGTTCTCCTTTTTGGAGGTGTCTTTGCCTGGTTTTGGGATAAGTGTAATACTGGCTTCATAAAATGTGTTAGGCAGTTTTCCTTCCCTTTCTATTTGTGGAACAGTTTAAGGGAGTGGTGTCAGTTTCTTCTTTAAAGGTCTGATAGAATTCAGCAGAGAATCCATCAGGTCTGGACTTTTCTTTTTGGGGAGACTCTTGATTGCTGCTTCAATTTCATTTTGTGTTATGATCTATTCAGGTTATTAATATCCTCTTGGTTCAGTTTTGGATGATCATATATCTAGAAATCTGTCCATTTCTTTAAGATTTTCAATTTATTTGAATATAGGTTCTCAAAGTAGTCTCTGATGATTTCCTGGACTTCCATGGTGTTTGTTGTTATCTCCCCTTTTGCATTCCTGATTCTACTAATTTGGGTTTTTTCTCATTTTAGTCAGGTTTGCCAGGGGTCTGTCATCTTGTTTATTTTTTCAAAGAACCAACTTTTTGTTTCATTAATTCTTTGTATGTTTTTTTTTGGTTTCTATTCATTGATTTCAGCTCTTATTTTTATTATTCTCTCCTTCTATTTGTTTTGGGATTTGCTTGTTCTTGTTTTTCTAGGAGTTTGAGATGTATCATTAGTCATTGATTTGGGATCTTTAGTCTTTTTATATATGCACTGGTATAACTTTCCTCTCAACTGCCTTGCTTTGTCCATAGGTTCCGTAGGTTGTGTTTTCATTTTCATTGACTTCCAGGAACTTTTTAATTTCCTCTTTTATTTCATAATGACCCATTGTTCATTAAGCAATGAGCTATTCAGTTTCCAGCTGTTTGCGTGTTTTTTGTCTTTATTTTTGTTGTTGAGTTCTAGTTTTATTGCATTGTGATCAGATAGAATGCATGGTATGATTTCTGTTTTCTGATATTTGCTGAGGCTTGCTTTGTGCCCTAGGATATGATCTATTTTGGAGAAGGTTCCATGGGCTGCTGAGAAGAATGTATATTGTGTAGAAGTTGGATGAAATGTTCTGTAGACATCAAGTAGGTCCATTTGATCTATTGTATATTTTTGATCTAGGATTTCTTTATTGATTTTTTTTGTTTGGATGACCTATCTATTGATGATAATGGGGTGTTGAAGTCTTCCACAACCACTGTGTTGGAGTTAATACATGCTTTTTGGTCCTTCAGGGTATGTTTGATGAAATTGGGTGCGTTGACATTGGGTGCCTATCAGTTGATAATTGTTATTTCCTTTTGGTTATTTCCCCTTTTGTTAGTATGGAATGTCCTTCTTTATCTCGTTTGATCAATGTAGGTTTGAAGTCTACCTTGTCAGAGATAAGTATTGCTACTCCTGCCTGTTTTCAGGGGCCATTGGCTTGGTAAATCTTCCAGCCTTTCATCCTTAGCCTATGCTTAATTCTGTCAGTGAGATGGGTCTCCTGTAAGCAACAAATTGTTGGATCTTCCTTTTTAATCCATTTCGTCAAATGGTGCCTTTTGATGGGGGAATTAAGTCCATTAAGTGTTAGTACTGGTAGGTATGTGGTGATTCCTGTCATTTAGTTGTCTTAGTTGTTTGAAGGTTTGATTGTGTGTACCTAAGTTGAGGTTACTCTCTACTTTCTTGATTTTTCTTTTCCTTTAGTTTGGTGCTGCCTGCCCTTCCATGGTTATGTTGGGTTTCACTTTCTGCGTGCAGAATCCCTTGCAGAATCTTTTGTAGTGGTGGCTTTGTAGTCACATACTGTTTTATTTTCTGCTTATCATGGAAAACTTTATTGCTCCAATCTGTTTTGATGATAGTTTTGCTGGGTAGAGTATCCTGGGGTTGAAATTATTTTCATTCAGTGCCCAGAAGGTCGCACCCGAAACTCTTCTTGCTTTTAATGTTTCTGTTGAGAAGTCTGCTGTGATTTTGATGGGTTTACCTTTGTATGTTATTTGGTTTTTCTCTCTTACAGCCTTCAATATTCTTCCTCTAGTTTCTGTACTTGTTTTAATGATAATATGCCGTGGGGTAGTTCTATTTTGGTCTGGTCTGTTTGGTGTTCTGGAGGCCTCTTGCATCTGTATGGGAATAGCTTTCTCTAGATTTGGGAAATTTTCTGTTATTATATTTTGTTGAATATATTACACATTCCCTTTTCTTGCACATCTTCTCCTTCTCAATGCCCATGATTCTCAGGTTTGATCTTTTGATGGGGTCGCTGAGTTCTTGCATTTTTTTTTCCACAGGTCTTGAGTTGTTTAACTAATAGTTCTTTGGTTTTTCCTTTAATTACCATTTCATCTTCGAGTTCTGAGATTCTGTGTTCTGTTTGTTCTATTCTGCTGGATAGGCCTTCCATTTTGTTTTGCAATTCTGTTTCATTCTGTTTTCTGATGTTTTCCATATCCTGAGTTCCATCCTCTCTAATGTTGTCTATTTTTGTGTGGAGTTCATTTATCTCTTTATTAATCGTGTTCTTTGATTCACTTCGGTGTTTATACAGTGGTTCTATGGTTTCCTTTATTTCTTCTTGTGCTTTTTCAAATTCTCTATTTTTGTTGTCTTGGAATTTCTTGAGTGTCTCCTGTACATTTTGGTTGACCATATCCAGTATCGTCTCTATAAAATTCTCATTGATTACCTGTAGTATTTCTTCTTTTAGATTATTCTTGTGGGCTTCATTGGGTTCTTTGGCATAGTTTATCTTCATTTTGTTGGAGTCTGGGTCTGAGTATCTGTTTTCTTCCTTTCCGTCTGGTTCCTGTACTAATTTTTTGCCGTGGGGAAACTGGTTTCCCTGTTTTTTCTGTCTTCCTGTCATTGCCCTTGGTGTTGTTATTGTCCGTACTGTGTGCAATTAAGTATTTTCTAGCTTGTAATAACAGCAATGGTGATATTTAGAAAGGAAGGGTGAGAGGAGAGGGAAAGCAAAGAAAGTAAGGAAAAAGGGAAAAACAGACAAAAAATAAAAAAAAAAAAAAACAACAAAAAGTTTCAAAGATATAAACAGGGAGAGATAGTGTACTAATCAACAGTAAGCTCAACAGGCATTAGAGAGACAGAAAGAGGATTGAAAAAAAAAAATCTCCAAGTTCAGATGCAGTAAAGTTTCAGTCTTAATAATTTTGGTGTTAGTCCCACAGCCTCCAATCCTGGAGATGGTGTCTCAGAAGTAGTTCTTTCGTTGGCTCAGCAAAGGGGAAAACAACAACAAGAAAAGAAAACAAAAAGAACAAAGCACCACAAAGTGTCCCAAGTTCAAATGCAATACAGTTTCAGTAAGTTTTTCAGCATGCAGGTGTAGTTCTGTTGTTGTCTCATCAAAGAAAGAAAAAAAAGAGTCTGGAGACAGTTCTGTGAATGGCTGTCTGAGGCTGTGGCTCACCTGCCCGATGATGTCAGCCTGGTGTTGCTGGAGGCTTTATTTATGCAGATCTCAGGAGTGAGCTTAACACTCACCTAGCTCCTCAGGCGTTGTTTACTTAGAGTTCTCCTGAGACCGATGGCCAGTGCTACAAGCTTTCCCCTTTCCAAGCACACTAGGGGAGGTGACACTGCACCAGCTTTCTCAGGCCTGCATGTTTACTTACAGTTCACATGGGAAGTGGGTCTTCCCCACCTCCTGTGGAGTTTTCTTCCCACCGCCACCTTTACAAGCTTTCCTGCTTCTGATTGCTGGGCGTGTGCCGCCGCTCCTGCCTTCTTCAGCTGGCTTGTTGTGAGGGATTTCCCCTCCCCACAACTTCGTCTCTCAGGGCACCCTGCCCTCTTTGCTCCGTGTCTTTTTTGTTCTTATTGCTTATTATTCAGGTTTTTTTTTTTCCCCTGGATGGGGGTTGGTCTGTCCAGGGGGCTATGTTGATCTGGCCCAGGGTTGTCTGTGGGAGTACCGCGTGCCGCTTACCTCACCTTGTGGTCTGAGTCTTCCCAGGCCGTCTGGGCACTGCTGTCTGGCAGCCCGGGTGCCCTCCTGGTTCTCCGTTTAACATGAAGTGGAGATGCTATATGTAGGCTGGAGGTGTGGAGGAGTCAAAGTTTTGCCTCTTCTCGGTGGTTTTTCCTGTAAGGTGTATCTCCACCGTCTCTCTAAGATTTTACTTTAGGAAGCACGCTTTCTGCTTCCTCCCTCTAGCCGCCACCTTGGAATGTCCTCCCAGGAAACCTTTAAAGGGCCTTGTCATTTGTTAATTTAAGTCTCTTCCCCATCGCTTTTCCAGGCCTGTGACTTTTTGGCACCAAAATCATAAATGGATATTAACTCTCAGTCAGAACCTCATTTTTTATGTTTAACCTTGAGTACATAAATATTTTACCTTAGAGCAAACCTCTGAGGCACCCATTTATTTCCTCCTGGATTCTGAATATGAAGTCTGAACTCTACAGAGAAGGGTCTGGCAGCACCAGTGTGACTACTGGTGCCTAGAATGCTTACCCTCAACTCCCTGAGCTGACTTCTTCTGGAAAACACTCTTCTGCTCTTCCCTAATCCCTCATAAATAGTATTCCCAAAGCACTGTGAACTTGTCATGTCCAACAATGTAGACTTAAAGTTATATCTCTCCCTTTGTGTATATTTTTCCCTGGAATATGAGCTCTCAATGTAGGACTATCATTGTATCTTTAGCACCTAGCTCAGTCTCTTGGACAAAGGGAGTCCATGGGAAATAGTTGCCAAAAGAATTGAATACAGAACATTTGACTTGGAATTTTTTCTTTATTAGAACCTTGAAAATATTTGTGCAACCATTTGGTCCTCAGTACGAAGTGATGTTAAAGGGTGAGGTCGTTTCTTCAGGAAGTAAACCTCTGCCACCTGAGTCTCACTGCTCAGATGTTACGTCAATTTTGTCCAATAAGCAGTTTCTGACTTGGGGAGGTGTCCCTCTCGGCAGAACACAGTAAGTGTGTGCAGCCCAGAGTGCTGAGATTTTGCTGTCTGAATTCCTAAGTTTTCTCTCTGTGTTAATTATGACTATCTTATATTTTCTTAATCTTCCTTTCATAAATTTTAGCTTTAATTTAATAAAATTTTTCTCTCTTTTTAAAATCCTCCCAAAGAAGTGTCAGCGCTGCTGAAGTGGCTCAAGTGGTAAGAGTGCCTGCCTAGCAAGAATGAGGCTCTGAGTTCAAACCCCATTGCTGCCAAAAAAAAAAAAACCAAGGAAGTGTCAGTTTTCTGAGGCTCTTTGATGAGTTCACTGCTGATCTAATTCAAACAGTTAAGAGCATATGGGTTCCTTCTTTGGAACTGTAGGAAGAAAAACTAATCACAGCCTTGTTTTCTGTTTAAGGAGCTTACTGTCTAGGTGGTGAATACTTAGAACAATGTTAAAGATGATCAGAAGTTTCTAATGGAGCAGATGCATTCCATCATAGCTTAATGTGAACTGTATCTAACCTTTTTTTTGGTATTTGATTCTAGGTAAACAGTTAATCAACAATTTATAATTAGTAAAATTATAATTAATTGGATTGTAATATACAGTATATTAATAGTTTTCCCTTGATTAGCTTAGCAGTATACTCTAAGGAATATACTTAGCAGTATACTTAGGAGTATACTCACCTTTTTTTAACAAATCCCACATCATAATAAATACCACATCATTAAATAAAATTAATATCACGTTGCACTTTAGTGTTTGTCCTAAATGTTTACCCATACATTTCAATGATACCTGCAAGAGAAGGAATTTCTGTTTGAATGTCTGCTAGAGGTGTGATGAAATCACTTATTTAAAACTATAGTTCTAGCAGGGTATGGTAGTACATACCTGTAAACACAGGTACTCAGAAGGTAGAGGCAGGCAGGTAGAGTGAAAGTTTAAGTCCAGCTTGTACAAAGTTAGCAAAACCCTGTTTTGAAAAAGAAAAGGTGTTTATGTGTAGGAGTATGGCTTCAGGCCTTATTATAGGAAAGAACAAGCAAAAACTATAGTTTTTGTTAATGCAAAAAAGATCTCATTGGTCCTCCTTACGGTATAAGTTCATCCATCTGCTTAATCATCCATGTGGTCATCTTTACCTTGTCTTGTTCCAAAATCAGCTTTCAAAAAGACACAGTAAGATAAGAACAGTTATGTGAAAAACTACTTCTCCGAGGAAATGAGGTGCTGTGATGCACAAAGGTGGCACCTGAGGAGTGCCTGCTTTGGACCTTGTGCACACACTCCTGGCCTCAAGGTGGGTCATTGACCTAGTACTGGTGGTTCTGCCTGGCACCATAAGGAAAGCTGCATCATTAGTTCCATGAGAAGCTAAGGACAAACTAGTTACTGCAGGAGAGATGTGCACCTTTTCCTGCCCAAGGCCTTTTAGAGATGTCTCTTCCAGGGTTCTTTTAAAAATAAATCTATGCAATACATACATTAATTGCCAAAGGAAAAGATAACTAAATAGCAATTACTAGCATGCCCTCTCCCTTTTTTAGGTGCTTTTGTGTGGTCTGGATGCCAAAAATGGTTCATTTATCTGGGCTTTGCCAAATCCATGTGATTGAAATAATTCAGGTTTCTTAGAAGAATGCGTGGACTGTATGTTCTTTAAACCTCTCTCTATAAACACTTCTCTTGGCTAGGCTTTAAAAATACCGAGTATCAGTTAGCAACTTATGTTGGTCGTAAGTGTCTTGTGCTTTTGTAGCCAATTAAGAGAAAATCAAGATTGAAATCTAGTTGAAAGGCAAGCAATGTGCCTATCTACAAAGAACTTCCAGTTCTCTACAGTTGAGCCTGAACAGTGCTTGGATTACAAAGTTTTCCTCAAAATTTGAATTTGTGGTCTGCTCTAATTACGTGTGCAAGTAGTTGACTCACACACTCTTAAGTAAGTTCCATGTTGTAGAATGTGTCCAAATAATTTAACTTAGACTTCAGCTTAGACTTCAACATAAAAGTTAAAAAGAAGAGGGAAAATGCCTTAAAGAACACCCTAACAATTATTATCAGTGCTCCCAAGTTATTAAGATGAAGACTCTGAAAAGCTTTAATAACTGATCTTGTCTATTAAGTCAGTAGCAGGAGAAATTGAGCCATAACTATCCTTGTTTTGATCATTACAAAATTCCCTGTTGGTGTGTTACAAAATTTGTAACACATGATTCTCATAGGAGTGATTGCTATTCTTAAAATCCAACTACTCCTGAGATACTATGTCATCCTGAAATCTCACTTGGAGCTCACTAAAACAAAATACATGTGCTGAATTATGTTTAATTAAAATACTACCTTAATTAAATTGAACATAAGGCAGCACTTTGGGCATGCTTTAGGACTTGTCAGGGGCATTCTTATCTCTCTCCTTCCTGTTGTATGAGACCTTCAGGCTGTCCTTGCTTCATTTCCTCATGGAGAGTTCATGGAATTCCTTGTAATCCAACAGGTGCACGACTAAGTCCCAAGCCATTGCAAGGAATTGACTCATAATCAATTCCTTATTTTCAAGTGGTGGATAGATAGTTTTACCTTAGCCTGGAGGAGCAAGCCAGTACTGTGAGAACTATACTACCTGTGGTTAGTTGATGATATTCCAAATGATGGTGAAAATTGGCTTTCTGAAAGTAGCCATTCCAAAGCATTAAAAAGATATTAAATATACTTTTGAAAATTACTGGGTATCAGTGATATATGTATGTGTTTAGTACTGCACCTAGGTAAATTATTGATTCCTTAATTCTCCTTACTCCCATCTTTGTATACCGCATAGAAAAAATAATTTCCCCCCATAGACACTATTTACTGTTCCTCTATAAGGATTTTACAGCAGAATTCACGATAAAGAGGTATATTATTTACTTAGAAATGAAATTTCATGTTTCCCCCCTTACCAACCTCCCCCATGAAATATCTCAGGAGACAGGCAGATGCTGTGGCTAGCCAGTCCCAAGTGTATTCTGAGAGAATTCAGCAGCAAGGGCCATCAGAACGCATAACTGCTACAACACATGACTGCCAGGTGCCCCTTCTCCATGGTGCTTGCCCCAGCCTGCCCTCCCTGTAGAAACAGGTGCTTCTTGCACAGCCGAACAGGTTGCAAGACTTGAAGTAAGCAAAGTGTAGAGGACAAATTAATAAATACACAATGTTGAGGGCAGTGTTATCATAAAACTAATGAATTTGCCTCAGTTGCAGAGAGAAATTAGTATTACTAAGTTATATTTTCAAAGCATTAAAATTATCCAGAATGGTATTTTATTTCAACTTAAAATTTTTGGATTTTTGGATTTTTTTAGTTAAAGTTCTGCATTTTTTCATCTGTTTGTTCATTCATTCTGGGTATTTTTGTGTTTTTTTGTGTGTATATATGTGTTTGTGTATGTACACACACACACACACACACACAAAGAGACTGTTTAAGAATTTGTTTATATTCATGTGGACTTGTATAAAGAATAAAGATGTTAACCCTTTTTGTTAGATTGGTTTCTTTTTAAAACTAGAAACAAAGTTCTCTCCTTAACTTGATAACTACTTAAAATAATAACTACATTTCTGCTGGGCATGGTGGCTCACGCCTGTAATTCTAGCTACTCAGAAGGATCCAAGTTTGAGGCCAACCCAAGCAAAAAGTTAGTAGGACCCCATATCAACAGAATAACAGAGTATGGTGTGTGCATACCTATCATCTCAGCTACTTGGGAGGCATAAGTAGGAGGGTCATGGTCCAGACCAGCCTAGGGAAAAAAATGTGGAAGCCTACCTGAAAAATAACTAAAGCAAAAAGGGCTGGGGGTGTGGCTCCATTGATAAAGGGGGCTGCCTAGCAAGTGAGGCCTTAAGTTCAAACCCCCAGTATCACCAAAAATAAAATAATAACCACATTTCTTTAAAACTTAAAAAATAAAAATGAAAGCTTTACCAAGTACTATTTCTTTCTGGCAAATGTCCCAGTCAGCATAGCTGTGGAAGGTTTTTCCTAGGGGTTCTGATAGCCAAAGCTATTGCTTAAGCAATTAACTATTGATCTGTACATTTTTGAGTAAAATAAGGATTTGCTCATGTATTCTATATTGAATGAAGAACAGATTCATATAATTTCAAGGGTTGAAAGGTTGTCTTACTGCTGACCAGCTGCTATTCATCATGCCTATTCTATGTGTTTTGTAACTTTTTAAAGTTAGGATTAATTCATTGTGCTGTTTAAAAGACTACTTTGTACTAATGAGCTTTGTTTCCCTGAAATCTAGATTAAGCCAGGTATTATAGCTAGGTGTGGTATTTCTTCAGTGATTTTCATTGATTGATTTTTTAAGATAGATAAATAGAGAGAGAGAGAGAGAGTATATAAGATAAGGTGAATCTTGAACATTACATTTTCAGAAACTTGAGTTCCAGGACTATTTAGAGATGCTCTAGCCTGCTAAGATGAGTTGCAGTCAGTCCATCTCTAAGACACTGTGGTTGGTTTTATTGGCTTTGTTTTTGTCGTTGCAGCAATATTCATGGAAGTGATGTTTAAACTGTGTCAATTGTTTTTAGGCTTCAGAAACTAACTTTAAGAAGCAGTTCTACATCTACAACCCAACATTTGAGGCTGCTTATTAGAGGACAAGATCAGGATTGCTTTCAGGTTTGCAGAGTGCACAGTCTTTGGTTTGGATTGCTTTTAGAAAAAAAAAAACAAAACAAAACAGGATCTCTTACTGTGTAACCCAGGCTGGCCATGAACTCATGATCATGAACCTCCTACCTGCTGCAGCTAGGATGACAGGCCTGCAGCACCATGCTAGGCTTCTAGCTGATGTTTTTGTCTAAGGCCAGAATACTCACATATGCAGATCAATTGTTTGGGTTTTTTTTGCGGGGTAGGGGGTGTTTGTTTGTTTTTTGTGGTGCTGGGGATTGAATGCAGTGCATGCTAGGGAAGCACATTGCCATTGACCTATATCCCCAGCCAGATAAAGAGTGTGTTAATTGTGTTTTATTTGTGCTATTATTTTGACATATCCAGTGATTTTTTTCTTTTTGGCTTTTAATTTTAGCTTCAGAACACTTTTGGCTCAGAAGAGCGATTGACTAGTAACTGTGAGATCAGAATTCGCCCCAAAGAAGACATTACAGTATCTGTACTATTTGCACCTACTCGATTATCTTGTATGTTGGCTAAACTAGAAATCAAGCAACTCGGAAGTAGGTCACAACCAGGCATTAAGTTCATGGTAAGGTTATTTTGTTACTCGTTTGCAGCCATTGCAATATTCCTATTATCTCCAGTCTCCTCTGTTGATTAACTTGTGAGTTCACAGATGAATATACCTTTTTTTTTTGAGGCTGAATCTTGCTATGTAGCCCTGGCTGGCCTTGAATTTTCAATATTCCTGCCTCAGTCTCCTGAATGCTGGTATTACCATATCCAGCTGAACATGACCTTTATTTCACAAGACTTAGAGCATTAACCATGGTGTGTCTTTGTAAAGATAAAGTAGCCTGGTAAAGTGGTGGAAGAAAATTTCACTGCAGAGACAAGAGAATCTAGAGAACCAGCCCTGTGTCTGTCACTTACTCTCACCATTGATCATTCATTTCCTTATTTGTGACATGTGCTACTTGTTGTCCCTACTTGCCAGTTTGGTACTGAAGAATGAATGAAATGATCTATGCATTTAAAAGATTATCTACTGCATTTTGAGTGTGCACTAGACCCTACACTTAACCAGTATATAGATTATCACAATTTATTTTCAAAACAACCTTCTAGATAATATTGCTCTCTCTATTCTACATATGGGGAAACCTATGCTTATGGACGTGCATAGGTGTGGTGGAGGCCTGATTCACATTCAGACCTTCTGCCTGTAAACCCACATTAACATAATATGCAGTTTCTGGGGTACTAAGAACAACTCCATTTTGTAATCCTCTAGAGCTGTGTTACCCCTGGAAGACAGTTGGCCATGTCTGGAGACATTTTGGGTTGGATTAAGTGGGAGGGGGCAAGGGTGCTGCTAGCCTCTGCCAGAGATGCTACTAAACAACCCTGCAGTGCACAGGGCAGCCCCAGTAAATTATCCAGTTCAAAATTTCAATAGTGTTGAGATTGCTGGGTGAAGTGACTCATGCCTTTACCCCTGCTGTTCTGGGGGATGGAGACCAGGAGGACTGAAGTTGAAGGCCAGCTTGTATAAAGTTAGTGAGACTGCATCTCAGCCAGTAAGCTGGGTGTGCTAATACACATCTGTGATTCCAGCTTCATGAGAGGCTAAAGGCAGGAGGGTCCAGATTCAAGGCCAGCCCCTGGGCAAGAATTCGAGACTCTACCTGACAAATAACTAAAAGCGAAAAAGGACTGGGAGTATGTGTCTGAAATGACAGTGTGCTGATGTGAGTTCCTGATGCCCTGAGTTCAAGCCACAGTACCACCCAAAAAGCAAAAAAGAAACCTTTCTCTTAAGGAATAGTTTTTCCTGGTTAATCTTTGGACTTATTGGCATTATATTTTTTTGTTATTTAATCAATTTTCTAACTTTTTCACATAGTAGCAATTTGTGATTTTTTTTTTTCAGACTTTGAAAATACATTTGGTTACATCTGTAGGTTCTGCATCTGCAGTCAGTCAGCCATTTATCTAAAACCTTTAGGAAAAAATTGTGTCTTTACCAAACATGTACAGACTTTGTTCTGTTATTATTTCCTAAGTAGTACTGTACAACAACTATTTACATGGTATTTACATTATAATAGGCATTGTAAGTCACCTAAAGATGATTTCAAGGGACTGGGAGGATATATGCGTGGGTTACGTGTGATTACTGTGCCATTTTATATAAGGGGCTTGAGCACTTGTGGATTTTTATGCATGTGAGGGAGCAGTACTAGGACCAGTCCATATGGACACCTAGGGGCAGCTATACAAGAAAAATACTAATATTGAGTAGAGTATTTTTAAAGCTGCCTTTTTCTTCTTTTCACTTTCTGCTTAGTTTCATATAGAAAATTTACTCATATAAGTTTCTGTAGAAATGTAAAAATGTTTTTGTAGAAACATTTTTGGCTGTTGAAACTACAAGAAGTCATTTTGAATGGTATAGATTTTATAGGGGCTTCTGATCTGAAGTCATTGGAAATACTATTATTTTGTAATAAAAAGCAAGCAAATTTATGAGGAACCTAAATTTAATGTTTCAAAATGTTATTTTCATTAGGTACATGACAACTCAAAATAAGTTATTGATGTTTTCAATAATTGAAAATGAAACCTTTTTAGACATGTGCATTTTGAAGAGTATGGAAGATTATTTTCTGGCAGGGTAAATATTTTCCTTACCTTTTACTTAATGGAAGGTGTCTATAAACCCTGTTTAGTGAATATCTTGAGCCCTGTGGAAGCAGCAGCAGGGGCCTTTCACGCCTGTCTCCAGTCTGCGGCTTCCACATTACCAGTTCACCTGTCCCTGGAGAATTTTTGAGTACTTGTCCTCAGTTCAGTCCCTTTTGCATGTTTCTCTCTGACACTGGTTAAGCAAATGCTCAGAGAATTGTATGATAATAGGTTTTTGTCCCAAAACATTTTATTATGAAAATTTGCAGAATATCTGAGAAGTTGGAAGAATTATATAGTAAGCACCCACACACTGTACCACTTATTTAACTACAATTCTCATTTTTCTGTATTTGTTTTATCACATAGTTAACAATCCATTCATTCATCTACATTTGTAGGCATTTCAAAGTAAATTACAAATATCAGTATGTCTCATTCTAAAAAAATTTTTTTTTAATGTTACTGGTCTTGCTCATGCTAGGTAGGTGCTCTACCACTTCAGCCACATCCCCACCCTAAAACTTCTTAAGCAAGCATATTTATCCTTTTTTTGTGTGTAGCAGTACTGGGAATAAAACCCAGATCTTTGTACATGCTAGGCAAGCACTTGTACCACTGAGCTGCATCCTAGGCCCATGTACTAATTTTTTATTGTCCCTTTGTCATCTAAGTTTGACTATTATAACAGGAAATAATTATTTTTAGCATTTTGGAAAGTAAGCAATTTTACAGTGCTTTGATTTGTTTTTCCCTTACAAGAAAGTCTATGTAATGTTGGACTTGAAGTAGGGTAACTACTAGCCCAAATATACAAACACTAACATTTTTAATTATATTAAATCTTTGTTTTCTTCTGATTGTATTTAAATCTGCTTTCTTACACAAAATAAGCATATTATGAAAATTTGCAGAATTACTGAGAAGGTGAAAGAATTATTAGTTAAGTACTTACACAGCACTCTTGAGCACCACATAGATACTACAATTCACACTTTTCTATATTTGTTTTATATTCTTTTAGATACCTTTGTCTGGATATGGAGGAACAAGTAATCTTATTTTGGAAGGTGTTAAAAAACTATCTGACAGTTACATGGTAACAGTGAATGGCTTAACTCCTGGCAAAGAAAGTAAAATTGTATTTTCTGTCCGCAACACTGGCTCTCGAGCAGCTTTTGTTAAAGCAGTAGGTTTTAAGGATTCACAGAAAAAAGTTTTGCTGGACCCTAAAATATTGAGAATTTTTCCAGATAAATTTGTGCTAAAGGAAAGAACACAAGAAGTAAGTATAAAAATCTGTGCCTTAAAAAAAAGAACTCATTTTTACATTAATAATTATGTATCTTATAGCCATAAGCTAAAGCACTACTTGGAAATAATGGGGGAGTTGAAGTGCTTATCTGGTCTTGGAAATGCCAGACATGCACTTGTGTCTTTAGTAGGCTCATAAGACTGCTTATCCAGAATGACGTGATTACCCTGGAGAAGTACTTAATATCCACTCTGATTTTTTTCTTGACACCAGGATGTTACTTTAATATATAACCCATCAGACAGACAGAGCGATTATAAAACTACAACAGAACTATCAACAGTATACTTCTTTGGTGGCGATGAAATTTCCAGACAGCACTATCGAAGGTAAATTACTTGGACAATGTTGGGAAATGTGGGACAATATGAAAATAGTGAATGCTTCACTATTTATTAGTGAACTAGCAGAGGAAGAAAAATCTTGGTAAAATTTGTGTGACTGATAACTTGGCAAATTGTGAGTGAGAAGTTACCTGTAGGGCTGAGTGCTGCTGACTCACACCTGTAATCCTAGCTACTCAAGAGGCAGAGATCAGGAGGATTATGGTTGGAAGCCAGTCTGGGCAAATAGATCATGAGACCCTGTCTCAAAAAAATCCATCACAAAGAAAGGTGGGGGGAGGGGGCTTAAGGTGTAGGCCCTGAGTTCAAACCCTAGTACCACAAAAAAAGTACCTGTAGGAAACATCTACATTGTCTTGCCTTGTGCCTTCTTTTCTCAACATTATGTATCATGCCTCTCTTCCTTTACCCATGAGGAGCATCATCCTTCATAACAGGACCATAGTCTTAATGTATTCTTGAGAATATGTCAAGCAACAATAGATTAGTTTTAGAGAAGACTTTAAGAACTACTGAAAGATTGTATTATATAAACACCTAATTTGGATTGTTTTGAGGGAATGCTGTGAATTATTAGAAAGGAGCATTATAGTTTAGAAATGTGTAGGATGTTTAACTTACAGCTACTTAGAGATAGATGTACTTCTATAAAACTTGATACATCTTATTAAGTATAATTTAATATAATGACTTTTGGCAAGTTTGGGTTATTGATTTAGGTCCAGATGTGATTACACATGTTCCATTATTGTGTGTTAAATTCTGGATTCTTTTACTATAAAATTAATTTCCTAGAGTACCTATATATAAGATGTGATAGATAAAGCTCATGATCTTTCATCTATTAGTAAAAAGTTGTTAACTCTAGTAAGGGCGTGGTTGAAGGTAGCTGTCTTTCTGCCTTCTAGCTCTTTGTGCTCTGCTGTGTTTTAGTCCGATACAGAGTTCAGGAAATTATTTTGTTTTTAATTGGTTGAAGCTCGTTAAGATACGTAAAAAGAGGAAGTTTAAGAATAACTTGCCTTAGAACAGACTACTTGTGAAGAGCTCACATTTGGCCCTGGCTCTTTTTCTTAATTAAGTATTTTAGGAATGCAGACTTTTTTCTTTCTCTCTGTTGAGATGTAGAAATCAGTGTATTGTTTCAGAGTTCCTCCTTGTCATAAGTTTACATTAGTGAGATTTCCTTTGGTTATGAACATCCTACAGAGAAATTTACATTTCATTTCTCACATTGAAACTTCTCTGGAAGAGACCAGATAGACAAAGTTGTTTGGTAATTTAAATGTTTCCCTTGAAATAGTTCTTATTTTTAGCATGGTCTTTTTTTTTTTTTTTTCTGTCAATTAGCATGGTCTTTATTTTGCCTGAGGCAAATTTCTGACTATAATCAAGTTATCACAAATAATGAAAATGTGAGCTCTGAAAAGAACCTAACTTTACTCTTCTTTTTACTCTGACATTAGAGTACTTGTTTTTAATTTTAATATTTAACTTAAACTGTGATTTCACTACCATGTATAACATTCAGCTGAACTTTCAAAATAGATTCCTTTTAAAAAGTACTTACATTAGGGCTTAAGGCATGCTATTTAGTACTATCTGCCAACTGCATTAATTATCTAATCGAGATCATTTATATGTAAAATCAGTTCTTAATAAAAATCTCTCCCAACAGAGCCCTGTTGCATAAACCAGAGATTATAAAGCAGATATTTCCAGAACATAGTGTGCTGCAAAATATGAATTTTGCTGAAGCATTTCAAGATGAGCTGCTAATAGATGAAGGTAAGAATTTTAATGTGCCTTCAAGTCTTTTGGTCACTCGCAGTGTTGTCTAGGTCATAGTGTGAGAGAAGAAGAAGGTCAGTTTGGATCTGGTATCAAGCTGAAGTTGAGCCATAGCTCTGCTCTATGACTTTGAACAAATTACATCACCGAGACTCACTTTCCTTCTCTATGGAATGAAAAGGTAGCTGATATCTAGCTTCTCATCCATGCAGGGCCGTTTTGCAAGTCAGATGGGAGAAGCTTTGCTTTATTGATGTTGCAGATATTACCATGCATGTTTTGCACATAGGCTATAAACAGGAGGAGGGCCTGGTCATTATTAACCTTAAGTTCATTGCTTTTTCAGATTTAATGATTGTGAACTTACGTTGAGATTTCTGGGACATTGTGCCTACTATAAAATTACAGAGGGTGTGGCCAGGCATAGTGGCTCAGGTCTGTAATCCTAGCTACTCAGGAGGCAGAGATCAGGAGGATCATGATTCAAGGTCAGCCCAGGCAAGAATAGTCTGCAAAATCCCATCTCATCCAATAAAAAGCTGAGTGTGATGGTGCACACCTATCATCCCAACTATATGGGAAGTATAGATAGGAGGTTCATAGTCCAGGTCCATGTAGATGTAAAAATGAGACATCATTAAAATAAAAGCAAAAAAGGAGTGGGGGCATGGCTCAAGTGGTAGAGCTACCTGTCTGGTAAACACAAGACTCCAAGTTCAAAGCCCAGTACCACGCACAGAAAAACAAACAAAAAATAAACAACATTATGGAGGATGTGATGGTGGCCAAAATTCAAAAAAGACATGAAATAATTATAATCTAGATACTTTGCCATATTTGAGCAAAACAGTTCAAATATTTAATACTGTTTATTATTCATACAAAATAAATGTATCAAGGCATACAAATTGTGTAAAAATACACGTACACTTTTTTGTAGCATTGGGGTTTGTGGTATTGGGATTCACACACACAAAAAAACACTTTTTTGTGAAGGGTTTGTTTGAGATAGGGTCTCTTGAGCTATTTGCCTAGGCTGGCTTCGAACTGTGATCCTCCTGATCTCTGCTTCCTGAATAGCTAGGCTAACAGGCATGAGCCACAAGCACCTGGCTATATGTACACATCTTTACCATAATATTGTTTCTAGTAGCAAGAAGTTAGAGATGAGCTAAGTGCCTAAGAATAGGGGTGGTTTAATTATGTAGAATGTTTCGAAGCCATTAAAACAATGGCATGAATCTATGCTAAATAGCATAGAAAGTTCTTCACTTAATAATTTTTGGCAGTACTGGGGTTTGAATTCTGGTTTTGTTGTTTTTAGACAGGTGCTCTACGGTTTGAGCCATGTCCTAGCCCCTTTTTTGGAGATACTTTTTGCCCCTGCTGGCCTTGACCGTGATTCTCTTATTTTAAACTTTTTGCTGTCGTTGGGATGATAGGCACATACCACCACATTCAGGCTTTTTTCTGTTGAGACTGGGTCTTATGAACATTTTTTTGCCTGGGCTGGCCTGGAACCTCAGTCCTTCTAATTTCAGCCCCCTGCATAGCTTGGGATGACAGGCACTTGCCACAGCACCCTGCTGTTGGTTGAGATGGGGTTTCCCAAAATGTTTTCCTGGGTTGGCTGTGAACAGTAGTCTTCCCAACACAGACTCCCAGGTAGTTAGGGTTACAGATATGTATGCCACTGGCACTTGACTAAAAGTTGTCCGTTTAATAAGAAAAGCATTGCTTTTAAATTTTATATTTAAGATCTCGGTAAAAATAATATGTTGATACCTAACATAAATAAAACTGCAGGCATATGCACAACAAAAGTGGTTATGATTTTGTGGTTGAATTTCAGGTATAGTTTTTTTCCCTGTATTTTTATTTTCTAGTGTTTTAGTGATGGGATATATTTTCCTTCTAAAATACAAGATGACAAAGGTAAAGAACAGTTAAGCCTTTGTAGGGGTGATGTAGATTAGTCTGCTGTTTTCAATACATTAGGAGTCTATGTCATCTCTAAGGGAAGGCAGGCGTGGGATAGTTAAAAATGATGGAATGATTGGGAATGGATGTGTAGTCAGTGTGCTAAGAGGGTAAAGCATGAAAAAGGAGCCTAGTCAAGACCCATCTCTGTTACCTGCTACTTCAGCCTCCCATCTCCTCCCAGATAAGAGCTAAACTGAACTGTGCTGTGGAAATGGAACAAAGATGCTTAGTATATTGCAGCTGTGGTGAAGGTGTGAGTACAAGCAGGTAGAGTTTGCAGCAGTTCAAAAGTTTGCATAGTTCCATGGTCCAGCAATATCCTGTTCACCAATTGAATGAATACATATGGTGGGAACATGGTATCAGTTGTGTGCAGACAGTGGGATTCAGTCCTTACCCACGAGGGGCTGACAGATGCAAGGGCAAGACTGATGATTGAATTGTGGTGTAAAGAGCGCTGCTTGGAGCATATTTAGGAATGTAAGAGGCACAGAGAAAGGACCCTTCACTGAGAATGAGGTGACTCTGGGTAGACTTGAAAAATGAGTAGGTGTTGACGAGGTAGAGAAGATGGACCAGGATGAAGAAGGATGTTTCAGTAGAGGGAGCTGCATGTCTGGAAGTTTGAGAAATGTAGTATAATAAGAGCAATTCAAGCAAGTGCAAAAGCAGGGGCAAGTTGGGACTTAGGCCAGATCTCTCAGAAACCAGAATTGAGAATACAGGATATGTTGAGATGACCTGTCTATTGTCCAGATGAATAGAAAAAGTAATCCATTTTGTTGTATTGGTGAGTACCATAAGTTCCCCATAAGAATGCTGCAGTTGAACGTTCTCTTTTAATTTGAATGACATTTGCTTGAACATACTAATAAGTATTTGCAATGCTCTGTCCTTTACAAAAGGTATAATGTATAGCAACATATCTCACAGTTGATTGGAACTTTTACATTCAGATGTCTCGGCTAATATAAATTTAAATTGATTACTTTTTTTAATTTCCATTTAAAATATGTAATTCTTAAAGAATTATAGAATGCAAGCACATCCTACAAAATTTCTTGTGTCTACATATTCAGGTAGCTGGATCAAGAGATAGTTTATCTTGAGCACTATTTTATTAATCTGGAAATACTTAGTTGTACTAATAGTAACTTTTCCAGATTTGTTTAAATTGAATATCTGTGAGGCTTTCACTTATTGTGTATCCTTAATCTCTTTGCTTCAGATTCCTCATTTTTGAAGAGGAAATAATAATACTTACCTCAAAGAGTTCTGGAAATTAAGTGAGTGTAAAGGGACTAGAATAGTACTGGGCCCTCAGTGAGCTTTATATAATGTCTGTTGCTATGTATATGTATATCTTGAAAAACATTCTTATCTTAAGGCTCTCAGCACTCCTGAGGGTAGATTGTTATGCCAGATTATAGTCTAAAGCTCAGAGACGCTAAGTAACTTGCCAAAGCTCACAGAGCTAATGAGTGACAAGATTAATTCATCTTCAGGCTCAGAGCCTGAGCTGTCAGCCTGATGCTGGACTGACTGCCTATAATTTCATGCCATTTGGCTGTGCTAACCAAAATGTCACCTACATCATCCTAATAAAACAGTATCTGTGAGTATTAACATATCAATCTGCCTTTTTGTGTTGTGCTTAATGTGAAGATTCATGTGTTTTAAAACATTATTTTCTTTTTCAGTGTATGATCTTCCCCAACGGCCTAATGATATTCAGCTCTTTTATGGAAACATGCGTAAAATTATCCTTTCAGTATTTGGAGAATTCAGAGATTCTGTTTCTAGCAGAGAATTTCTTCAGCCTTCTTCCAAAGCTAGCTTGGAATCTAGAAGGTAAAATAAACACAAAAACAAAAATATTTCACCAGATTTCAAAGTAATTTAATTCACAGTAGAGGTGATTTTTTTTTTTTGCTATACTATATTATTTTTCTCTCAAAATGTTTATTTCACCTTTATATTTTAGTTTAAGTTGAAATAATTTCAGAATTTCAGGGATGTTTAAGAACAGTAGAGAACTGCTATAAACTGTACTCAGAATTCCTTATTGCTAGTAGCTTACTAAATTTACCTTGTCATTCCTTATTTGTTACAGATGTTTTTTCTCAACCATCTAAGAGTAAGTTACAGGCATAATTGCCAATAAGTCCTAAATTCATTAAAAACACTTTCCATGATAAGCCTATGAAATTAGAGCATTTAATATTATTTAGTCCATAAATTCCATTCATATTTCACTTTTACAATAATGCCCTTCGTAGTTAACCAAACCATAAAATAAAACCCCCTTCTCTCTGGTCCAGCATCTGTCTAGGACCACATGTTGCATTTAAATGGCCCAACTCTGACTGTCTTTGAGTATAAAGCAAAGTTTCTCTGTCCTCCCTTACCTCTCACGAATGAGATATAGAGGGTTGGATTATCAAGTCTCATCCTCAGCATAAGAGACATTATCCAGAATTAAGCTTTACTAATGATTTAGGTAACGCCTTGAGAAGACTGGAATGACTATGGCACTTCATGGGTACTTTTGTGTAGCATTTGTTTAATACTCTGGTTCAAATTTAAAACCATTTATTTACAATGTACATGTGATGTATATGGCTTATACAAAAGGGAGAGGTTTTTGAGCATTGAAGTTGTTTTATTCTTTGATAATTATGTAACGTCGTAATTTTTCAAATAGCTATACCCCATATACTCATAAATTTTAGTTTTCTTTATCACAAATAATTCTTTCTTTTTATTCCAGTAAAGCTTTGTTTACAAATAGAGGGCAGTCAAAGTTTGGGCTTTCCCTCTCTGCTGATAAATTTCCTCCTTGAGCAGTATCATGATCTCTGGATGTCAGGTAGACCTGTCAGAAGGGCCACACTGAGGGTACCACACTCAATTCTAGACAGAACAAGTACATCCTGCCTGTGTAGGAAGTGCAAAGTCCTGAGTTCAAACCCCAGTACTGCCAAAAATAAAAAAAATAAAAAAAAAAAACAGCATTCCATACATAAGGGCATTAGTGTGTTTGTTGGGAGATCTGTCATTAGCAAGATTACCAGATTTGTCCAAGGCATTTTTCTTTTTCCTTGAGTATTTTCTTGTAAAGTGGGAAAAAAATAGGCTGCAGGCCTATTTTCCAGGGTGGATAGGGGATTCCCGCATGATAAGTGGTACTCACCTGTTTGTTCTGTCAATTGGCAGGCAGGTTTGGAGCCACTGGCAGTGGTGGCAGCTGCAGCAAGAAATGACACCAAATTTTCTCAGTGTAATGTGGCATGGGGAGGCTTTCCACGGGCTAGGGGTTTAGGATGTCAAAAGGTTGATTCTGGTTGATGCTTTATTTCTGCTTGATGGAGGAAGAAGAGAAGGAAAGAAAAAAATTGCCAGTGGGCTAGAGGAGGGTTTCCCCAGGGCTGGACTCGCCTTGCTGCTGGCTGTGTCACCGGTCACAGCTCTTAGGTATAATTAAAGGCTGATTTGAGGGTCAGTCTTTGAAATTTTTTCCTGCACCTAATGTGATGACAGTTATTATTTTGGCTAGAAGCAGTCAGAATTACCCAAGTGTGGTTCCAACATCTCAGGGAAGTTTTTGGAGTCATGGAGCTTAGGCTTAGGCTTTCTGCTTCCATGCCCTAGTTGCTGTCTTGGATCCTCAGCTCTTCTACTACTTGAGCCACTCTGCCAGCCCTGTTTTGTATTGGGTATTTATGAGACAGGGTCTTATGAACTATTTTCCCAGACTAGGTTCAAACCATTATCCTCCTGATCTGTTTCCTGAGAAACAGAGCTGGGCCGGCCACCTGTGCCCAGCTTCTTGTTTTTTATTATAAACTACTTTTTCCTCTCCTGCAAGTCTAGGGCCTTAGCCTATTGGGTAAGCACCCTACCTCTGAGCTATACCCCCAGCCCTACTTTACTACTTTTAAATATATATGTGAGGTTTTTTATTCTCTGAAAAATGCATGACATAAAATTCCCTTTTAGTTTTATCTCAATGTTTTTATTTTATAAAGAATTAATATAAAATATTTGAAGCAATCTTGCTTTTCATCATTCCTAACTTGTCTCTTTTTGACTTTTCTACTTTTAAATAATTTTGCTAGTGAATCAGGAGCTTCTGGAAAACACAGTGGCAATGTCTCTTTGGATGTTTTACCAGTGAAAGGTCCTCAAGGTTCTCCTTTCCTCTCACAAGTTAGCTACCCACCTCAAGGTACATCAGCCTCTGAAGAGATGTGGACTGTGCAACCTGAACACTTGATTCTGGTAGCTCCTCCTCCTTGTGAGTATTTCTGAGACAATTTATCAGGAGTGCATTCAGGAGTCCGGGTCTGTGTTCTCTGTACCCATGTCTCAGTCAGGGTACACTCATGAACTTTATGCATATTGGGGTGATGATTCACCCATGATGTACTCTCACCACTGAGACACCTGGAGTCCCATTCTCCTCCTGAGGCAGACCCCCTTCTTCTCAACTCATCTCAGCTCTCTGACAACGGAGCTGTACCCCACCCAAGAAACTTACTGAGCACTTGACTTCTTACTACATTAACACTGATACTGTTGATTCAGAGTCAGAACAAATGTGTCAGAGTTAAAGCCAGATTTCTGTTTCTCTCTAACTGTTCAATGGTGCCAGTGGTATTTGTAGTTTCCAAGAGTTATCAGGTAGCCTGTCTAACAAAGGTTTGAAATTTCCATAATTGAGCAGTTGAGAAGAACAAAATTAGAAATTACACAATTGCATTTATTTAGGACTAATTTTTTATTAACATTTTTCTTTCACTATTGCTAAATGTAAATAATTTTATTTATCTGGTACAATAGGTGACATGGCAAAAACTGGATGTTTCCAGATTGTAAATAACTCCGTCAGGTTGCTGAAATTTGAGCTATACTGGCCAGCACATTGCCTGACAGTCACACCACAACATGGATTTATTGCACCAGAGTAAGTTTATCTTCTGTGTTCTGGGTTTTATTCTGATGCCATCGTGGTGACTTTTTTTAAGGATCAAATATGTCATTTAAATTTGCTCATTGAGTTAAGGTGTGGCTCAGTGTACAGCACTTGACTAGCATGTGCAACTCCCTGGGTTCTATCCTTAGTACTGAAAAACTAGATAAATAAATTTGTTCAGTAGAGATTTACATTCTGCTAACTGTACAAAGTTTACAGTTGGTTCTGTGAAACAAGGGTGGTTGAAGACTCACTCCCTTTAATAAAGTTGAGATCACACAGGGAACCAGGTAGACTGTGTCCTAAGATGGTAAAGAGATGCGTTTGAGGTGGAACATGGTCCCTGGAATGGAAGACATGAGAGTATATTCCTTTATTTATTTGTTTTTGGGGGTTTTTTGTTTTTGTTTTTGGTTTTTTTTGGTGGAACTGGGGTTTTCAGCCTTCCCAGAAGCTTCCTAGGACTGTAGGCATGAGCCATAAGCCCCTAGCATGATGGTGTTTTTCTACAGAGCACTTGCCCATAGAATTTCAAGGTAAGGAATAAAACCAGTGGCAGTGGTTCTGCCTTTCATCTGCTTGGCTTGGACAGTATAGTCTGCTGTTTTTCCCCCTCCCCCCCGAAGAATGTTTTTGAGTCAGAGCTTCCTGATCCATAACCTGGCTTACCATTTTCTACGTAGAATTTGTAAGAATTTGGAGCCAACTGTTTACACACAGCTGCCCTCTATATACAGCCTAATAATTGACAGGAGGTAAAGCCACAGTTCTGCAGTTCTCCAGGACTTCACCTGGGTCAACACAAAACTCTCCCATGTGAGATTAGCAGCTTTGAAGAACAACAACATGGAGTTTCTTTACATTTGCAGAATGACACTTGTTGCATTTTTATAAAGTTGATTGAGGCTGTGAGCTAAGGTAAAAACAGAACTCTCCAGAGAAACATTGTTGGGACCAAAGTATTCAATTCAGAATACCCTAAATGTTTATTATATACAACAAGCCCTTGCCAACTAATGGGTGAAAGGATAGAACAGGTGTCTCACAAATCCTTCTTTGAGGGAGGTATGAGTACTAACCTTTGCTCTGTCTAGCCATAGGAAATAATTGGTCATTTGCAGGGCATTATTTGTGACTCTTATAATTACTGCTGTGAAAGTATAGGCTAGTCTTAGTTAAAAACCAAAATTACTCTTTTTTTTTTTCTTTTTAAAAGGAGTAAACTACAAATTCTTGTGAGTCCTAATTCCTCCTTATCTACAAAACCGTCAATGTTTCCATGGAGTGGTTTGATCTATATACATTGTGACAACAGACAGAAGGTACTTGTAAAATGTTTTTCTGAGTAACATTCTTTTATTTTGTAGCTTCAGTTTCATAATCCTTATTCGAATTTACATTTTAGAAGTGAAATGAAGTCCAACTAGGTATATTTAATCAGAACACAGAATTTTGCCCTTCATTATCTGAACCATTTTCTTGGAGGTTGTAAAAGGGAAGGGTGGAGAGTGGAGCCTAGAAACCATTACTAATTTGCAAATTTTACTTAATAAAAAAAGGTAGTTGGGAGAGAGGAGATAGAAGATTTACTTCTTTGTGATCTTACTAAACTTTAATTTCTAAATTCATTAGTCTTTCATTTGTTTGTCATTTCTGTACCATAATTCCAAAATCAGAATTGTTTCTTTTAACATGATAGCTACATTTGTGTGTTACCCTTTATTTGGCTCATTTCAGAAAATTGTGAAAGTTCAGATTCGAGAAGATTTGACTCAAGAAGATCTTTTACCTCATTTGGCCTCTAACACATTTGGAATTCTTACCCCAGCACCTGAGCTTTCTGTTGGTCACTTGACAAAACCAGTAACAAAACCACCTTCAACAAAAGTTGAAATAAGAAGCAAGATGATCACTTTTCCTGTAACACAACCTGGTAAAACTTCAGGTATTGTATCATAAAATTATGTGAGTCAGATATCTAGTGCTGTGTAATGCTCTGATTGTTTAGTGTATTCATTTATTTTTGCAGTGCTGGGGATTGAACCCAGTGCCTCACACCTACAAGTGCTCTGCCACTGAATTCTAAATTAACCTTGAGTTAATGAAAAGTACAAAATTTTCCCCTATTTCAGTAGAAAATCAAGCAGCCATTGGTAGTCGTTTCAATGGTGGGCTGGATTTGAAAATCTAATCCTAAAATGTGAGTTCTAAGATTAAAATTGGCACAGAATAACTGGGCATTGAAGAACTGTGTATTCCCAGGTATCTTCAGTTTTATTTGATGGCCAGAACCATTCCTCCCAACCCTCACTAGATCTCTGACCAGAATTAATATTAGTAGATAAAAGAGAGAAGAAGGTGGGTGGAGTGGGTTCTGTCACTAAGTGATTCTGAGGTTCTAGAGAAGCTAAACAGACTGCTCAGTTTCCCTGTGTGCAAAATGGCCATTGTAACCATCACCTTCCACAGAGGGCACTGAGAGTAAATTCAGTAAGTTATTTGTTCATGATATATGTAGAGCAATTAGCATGGTGTTTGTCACTTAGTAGGCACTCTATGTTGCTAGTACTCCTCAAAAGTATCTCCCTCCCTCCATATCTGCTGGCTTTGGCTGAATGAATGGTAGTGTAGTAGTGTGGCTGACTATTAGAAAGATTTGGGCAACTCTGCTCCTTGCCTTTCTCTTTGATTTTATCTGCCCTTCATCTTGGTTTCTGTCTTCTGTGGACCTATCCTTGACCTTACCATTTACCCCCAGTACCTGTTCTCATTCCATGTCAAGCCTGACCCTTCTCATCTCTCCAGCTCACTTACTACACAGATTGCAGCAGTTCTCTAACCTCATCAAAACCTGCAAACTTAGTGCTTTCTACCACCTTGCTTAGGACCTTCTTCTCTTTGACCCCTTAAATCCTGTTGTCTGTCATGACTTACTGCCTTATGCCCTCTTCCTCTACATTAAACTCTGATGAAACCTAGCTATCTGGCTACTCCATGTCTCTATCCCAGCAGCAGGACATTGCGGGGTAAAACCATACAGCCTTTGCTAATAGATTCAGTCACAAGTCCCAGGTACCCTCTCAACACAAGGCTTTCCTGCCCAATTTCCATATATCCTCACCAGCAGCCTACGTTCCATCTCCCTCAGAGCTCCTGTCCCCTGTGCCCCCCTTTTCCCTCTGACACTTTTTCCAATTCTTGACTTTGCCTCACACATTGAAAGTAGAGAAGCCATTACACTAAATGAAAGGTTTTTTTTCTTTGCTTTTCTGTCAAAGACAGAGCCCTTCACTTGGAGTTTAGGTTCATCTGTTCCTGACTTCTCAAGACTTTCTCTGGTTCCTTCTCTCTCCTAGGCATCAGTTTCTCCCTCTTTATGCATTTCCATCAGCCCACAATGTGTGAATAATCACAATCTGAGAGATGCCTTTCTTGGCCTCCACTTCTCCTTCTGGAGAAGTTGTTTCTCAGCATGTCTTCCAGTGAAAGGGTTCTCCCTGCTTTCCTTCCTCAGGCTCTTGGGCTGCCATCATCTCTGTGCCGCAAACCTGCACCTCCTGTGGTCCTGGAAGAACTCCATTTTGCCATAGCCAGGATCTTTTTTAGGTGTTTTTGTTTATCTGACCCCTTCACACTATCAACTTCTCCTTCCTCCTTAGAACACTTCTCACAGCTTTTGTGGTACCAATATTCCTGGGTTTTCCTGACTGACTTGCTCCTCAGATTTCTTTGCTGCCCATTCTTCCATATATTGACTTCTGAAGTGCAGCATATCCAGGCTGTCCCACCTGTCTCATTCCCTCTCTGTTCTCCCCAAGTGATTACCTATTGGCCATGACTCAGGCAGTTACTGTGTGCTCAAGTGAACTCACTAGGCTTCTGCATGTGGGCATCTCATAGGTGTGGCAAATGTATCAGGTCCCAGACAGTCATCTACCATGTCAATAAGCGACACCACTTCTTTCCATTCATTTTATCTTACTGTTCTCATGCTTCAGCCCTTCAGTGTCTTTGCATTATGCTTTGAATAAAATCCAAAACAGGATATCTGACACATTTGACTTTTTTAAAGAAAATCCTGTAGTTCCATTGGACTCTGATAGGAATCCCTCCCTGTGATGAGGTCCTAAGGCCTATCACAAGGGGCTGCTTGTCACTGTGTGAATTGTGGTACATGTATTCCTTTTAGAGAACTGTCTGGAACTCGAGAATCATGGCCCCATGGACGTGAAGTGGCACCTGTCCTCTTTTGCTCCCCCATATGTCAAGGTCAGTCATGACTGCCTCTGATACATTCATCTTATGTTTGGACTTTATGTGGGCTGTTCTAAACACTGACTATGAGCATAGGTCAGTATGGTGGTTATTTATCCCACAAATTCACTTACTTGGTTTTCTGTGTAGGTGGGGATGATACATGTGCGGTCTTTTTTCACCAGGAGATATAAAAGTCCCATTGGAGAATTTGTGTAAAAATACATGTCTGCTCCATTTAATTCTATCTCCCAGACCTGATTTTTAACTGAAATAACTTTGAGCAAAATTCAGGGTTTTACTATCAAGTGCTATGCACACAATTGCCTCCCTGTGACCTGAGTGCTGTTGTGTTTCATCCATGGCAACTGGTGCAGGGTATAAGGTGGAGCAGTCTTTGCTGGTAAGCCTTAGCCTACCATCTGCCGCATAGCTCTGCCAGAGGTACTGCCCAAAGTGAGCAGCTTGTCATGTGTTGCTTAGAACACTGACCTGTCTGCCATGTATTTTATGTGACAGCTATATTTTTGAGCCATAATACTAATAAAATGTGTACAAAAGATAGTTACTGGACCTTTTGCAATAAACAATGAACTGATGCTGCACTTATCAGGGTCCTCAGAGTATTTGAAGAAAAGACAGTCATTTGATATTGTGAACAGCATTATGACGATCACAGTGGTCAAGGAGGTCAGTCATAAAGATTGCTGTGGCAGCCAGCATAATGGTCTGTGCAGAGTTCAGCTGAGGAGCACTTCCTCTTGGGAGCAACACATTGAGCTCCCCTTACTTCTCCTGCTAAATGGAGTTGGTGTGTTTTCAGTAACCATAAAGGCATTGGTGCCTCTGAAACCAGTCACTGGCTTTTATGATTCTTACTTGATTATTTAAATGATTACTTTGCAGGGAGTTAATGAAAGTGGAGATGTTTTTAGAGCTACCTACGCAGCATTCAGATGTTCTCCCATTTCTGGTGTACTGGAAAGCCATAAAATCCAAAAGGTGAGCTTTGATTGATTTTTTTTCATAGTCATTTGGTAAGAACATGATGTTAATAGGCCAGGAGTGCCTCATGTGACCCAGCCACTTCAATTTGTCTCCCCTAGACCCGTACTGGTCTCACAGCCAGTTTACCCCACAGGAGAGGCCTCTTTGGTGCAAGTTAGCATTCTTTCACTGAGCTGCAGCAGAAAGTCTTGCCATGAGAAAAGTATCAGCTGTACAAGCATCAAGTTTGCTGTGGGGGAGGGTCACAGCTGCTTGTGCTTGCAGCACATGTTGCTGATGGAGGTGAGTTTTGTTCACAAGCCATAGCCAGAAAAGTCTACCACCCCGCAACAAATCAGTGTTCATGGCATAATCACCATCTTCAAAGACAACAGATCCCTCCAGCTGCTGTGAACCTCTAAATCCTTAGTTCATTTCTACCCCTGACACAGAGCTCTCAGACGTCTCCTAGTGGCACTCAACATCCACTTGGCCTCTTTAATATACTTTTTCATTCTAATAGCTAAAATTGAATTGAACTGTCACACCTTCACAACATTAGCCCATTTATTCATTCAGACTTCTAGTAAGGTGTAGGGTACAGCTGTGAACTCATAACTGGTCATGAAAGACTCTTGGAGCTGCTGTAGTAGTTGCCAAAACTCAGAGCTTTACTGGGTCTGTATAACAGGCCTTCAGGGTTTGTCACTTTTTTGAAAGGCATACAGTTCTACAAAATAGTTTATTCTATTTTTCAAACTACCACAGAAGCAAAGCAGGAGAACAGACATGTTGCTCAACAAAAGTTCAACATTTGAGGAGGAATTGCAAAAAGGAAAAAACAAAAGAAATTATCCCAGCAGAAAAGACACCCCACGTCGGTGGAGGGAAGCATTAGCACTGTTACAACAGCGGTGCTTATTAAATCGATCTACAGATTCAACATAATCCCAGTCAAAACCCTAGCTCCTAATAGAACAAATGGATGCGTAGTAACTCATGCGATGGTATGTTTAATGAACTGCAGCAGAGAAAGGTGTTCTAAGGAAAGCAAGGAATTTTGTCTTGGAAGAATCAGAAGTGAGGGACTGCATTTGCCTGATGTTGTATCTGATTAGAGTGTATGTGATAGGAACTCTGGGGGCAGGTGAAGGGCAGCACTCAGGGCCTCACACTTGCGAGGCAGCCACTCTGCCACTTAAGCCAGCCTTTTTTTGTGTTGGGTATTTTCAAATAGGGGCTCCTGAACTATTTGCCCAGGATGGGCCTTGAACCGCGATCCTCCTGATCTTTGCCTCCTGAGTAGCTAGGATTATAGGCATGAGCCATAGTTGCCCAGCTTAGATTCTTTATTTGAGATCACAGTCGACTGTGGTCACTTGTGCTGAGTTACTCTTTGTACTAAGCAGTTATCTACATAGGTTCCTTTGTGCATACATGGTAATCAATCATTCAAGTCATGGATCCCTGGCAATCCTTTTTTTGTGGTACTGGGGTTTGAATTTAGGGCCTACACCTTGAACTACTTCACCAGCCCTTTTGTGTGTGTGTGATGGATTTTTTTGAGATAGGATCTCTTGAACTATTTGCCTAGGCTGGCTTCCAACCGTGATCCTCCTGATCTCTGCCTCCTAAGTAGCTAGGATTACAGATTGAGCCACCTGGCACCACTTGATACTTCTGCCCAAATTTCTCAATTCAGCCATTACACAATCAGTTATACAAGAGATACACTTGGCATGAAGACATTCCATCATTGACTGTACTAAGTCCAATTTGACTTTAATGGAAAAGTTGATAAAGTTGGTATCAGCCAGGATGTGATAAGGTGGACCAGCTATGTATTATATTAGAAGAATAAGCAGGAAGGACATTGAGGGATTTCCCTTTGGCTCAGTAGGAACGTTTTTTGTTTTTTTGGCTTTTTTTTAGGCTTTAATCCCTTAAGTCTCTCATCTCTGAGATTAAGCATTCACTTCATGGTCACATAATTTCCTGCTTTCTTTTACTTCCCTGAGTTCACATCACACTCTTTTTGTATTTGTTTTGTTTTGAAGTTGACAAGCTGATCCTGACATTCGTATGGATATATAAGGGACCCAGAAGAGCCTAGACAATCTTGAAAAACAACAAAGTTAAAGGACTTAGACGTCCCCATTTTCAAAACCTACAAAGCCAGAGTACCTTCAAAACATGCTGGTATTGACATAAGGTGGGCAGAGAGTTCCATAGATATGTGAGAATCCCAAAATAAACCCTCATATTTATGCTCAGTTGATACTCTTGATAAGCACCAAGATAATTCAATGTAGATAGAATATTTTTTAACAAATGGTATTGGGACAGCTGGATATCCACAGGTGAAAGAATTAGAATGAATCTTTACCGAACACTATACATAAAAATTAACTCAGAATGGACCCTAAATGTAAGCAAAAATATAAAACCTCTCAAATATAGGGAGGAATAAGTCCATATGACCTCAGGTTGACACCAGTAAATGTGTCAAAGAAAAATTAGGTGAATTATCAAAATTAAAAACATTTATGCATCTAAGTGACACCATTAAGAAAGTGAAAAGACTACTCATAGAGTGGGAGAAGTACTTACAAGTCATATAGTTGAGGACTTGTATCCAGAATATGTAAAGAACTTTCACAACTCAAGAACAAATAACCTTTTTTTTTTTTTTGGTGGGACTGGGCTTTGAACTCAGGGCTTCACACTTGCTTGAACCACACCGACACCTCCAGTCTATTTTGCTCTCAAAAAATTATTTGCCCAGGTTGGTCTCAAACTGTGGTCTTCCCAATTTCAGCCTCCCAAGTAGCTAGAATTACAGGCATGAGCCACCAGCTAAAATGACCCAACTTTTTAAATGAACAAAGGATTTATGTAGACATTTCTCCAAAGAAGATATATTGGCCAATAAACTCAAGAAAAGATGATTAGAAGCCAGGTGTGGTGATACACATCTGTAATCCCAGCTACTCAGGAAGTGAAGATAGAAGGATCACAATTTAAGGTCAGCCCAACAAAGGTTAATGAGACCCTATCTCAAAACAAGCCAGGTGTGGTGATACATGCCAGGAATCCCAGCTCCAGCTACTTGGAAAGTGTAGGTAGAAAGATTGTGGTTCAGGACCAGCCCTATCTAAAAAACTAAAAGGCAAAAAGAAGGGTGGCTCAAGTGGTAGAGCACTTGCTTTGCAAGCACAGCAACCTGAGTTCAGTCCCTAGTACCACACACACAAAAAAAGCTTAGAATTTCTAGTCATTAGCAAAATGCAATGAAAGCCAGAAATGAGCTGTCACTTCACACCTATTATGATTATGATTGAAAAAAAATGTGTCACTGAGAATATGGAGAAGCTGGAACTTTTTACATTGCTGGTAGGAATGGAGTATGGTATAGCCAGTTTGACAGTTCCTCAATAAAATGAAGGTAGAATTACCATACAATCAGTAATTCCACTTCTGGATTTTTTTTTTAATTGAAACAGGTATTTAAACAAAAACTCATGCACAAATATGCATAGCAACATTATTCATAATCACCTCGAAAGGTGGAAGGACGTAACCCAAATATCCATCAACTGATTGATAAACAACATGTAACATATCCATGCCTCTGGGCAGTGAATTTGTTTGGCAATAAAAAGGAGTGACATGACCAGTACATATTACACTCAGAGGAGTAAACCTTGAAACCATTAGCTAAGTGAAAGAAGTCAGGCACAACAAACCACATTTTCTATGCTACTGTTTACGTGCAATGTACAGCATGGGCTTTCTGGTGTTAAAGAGGATGGAGAATGGGGAGTGACTGTTAAATGGTTTTGGATTTCTTTTTGGATTGTTGAAAATATCTTAAGCTAGTGTGTGGTTTTAGTTACATAGTTCCATAAATATTCTAAAAATTATTGGCTGTATACTTGGAATGGGTGGATTGAATGGTAGTTGATGTTCTTTTATGTGATTTTCAGTCAGCTGCAACTATGAGAGGTCACAAGAAAAGAAAACAAAGTTTATTACGCTCACAGGTTCCAAAGAGGAGGTTAGCTCATGCCATGCAGGATCCCAAGGGGAAACACTGGTGATCAGATGGTGGGAGGAAGGAGCAAGGGTAGAGCTGCAGCCATGGCCTTTATTAGGATTTCCACAGCAAAGACAAAGTAGGGCAGAACAAACAGCTCAGGCGTGGCTAGTTTGAATTATTTTAGCAAACTCTGGCAGTGGTCTCTGTTTGCTTGTACCTGGCCCCAGGCGATTAAGGCTGAGAAACTGTGCCTCATAGGGTGTGGGGGGTGAGCTGTAGCTTTGCACTGTTGAGTTTTTACTGCTGAGGCTAACTCCCTGCTTAGGCTGTGGTTGTCCTAAAAATTAGCCAGTCCTGCTTAAGTGGTTTTTTTTTAAGATCCCAAAACATCATATAAACCAAAAATAAAACATACATGTAGTACATACGATATATGAATTGTGTTTCAGTAAAGCTGCTAGAAAGGGAGGGAGGAAGAGACAACAGGATGCAGGGCCAGGTTGTATTCCAGGAATTTCTCCTTTTCAAAAGTAGGTGACATGGAAGTGCACACTGTAGAAGGCCTGATTGTGGGTGTTCGGCACCATGTGTCCTGGGCTAGCTAATTGTTGACCACACTGCAGATGCTCAATAAATCTTTGTCAAACGACTTCTGAGTTTGGTTACTTCATTCGTATTAGGGGAAAGATGAGAAACCATGCTATACTCAGCAACGTAGGAATGTATGACCAAACAGTACAATTACCGATATATGTAGTAATGATTCACAGAGCACTTTGTTACAGCCTTTTTTTCTTTTTTTTTTTCAATTTTGAAGTATTAGAGTTTGAACTCAGGGCTTGTGACACTCTACCACTTGAGCCACTCCCCAGCCCAGACCTATTCCTTTTTTTTTTTTTGAAGCAGGTGTCTACCACTTGAGCCATACCTCCTAGCCCATTTTGCTCTGGTTATTTTGGAGATGGGTCTTGCCTGGGCTGGCCTCAGACTGTGCTCTCCCAATCTCAGCTTCCCAGGTAGCTAGGATTACAGGCATGAGGCACCAGTGTGTGGCCAACTGATTTCTTAAAGTAGCAGCTATACACAGTAATTTTTGAGGCATTGATCAGTTTGACATGCACATTAAAGTTCTCAGTATTGTCCTTACTGTTCAATGCATAGTAATAAGTTTTTCCCTTCCTCTTTGTTTTGTTTTGTTTTGAGTTGGGTGTTTGAAGGGGATGTGATTGGGATTACATGTGCTAGTCCCCAGTGGTTCCAGAAGTGTTGTATACCCTGTACCTCTATGCAGGATGTGGTTGTTTTCGCCCCTTTTGGTCCATGTTCTCTTTCCTAGTTTAATTCCCTGGTCTGGAGGCTCTCACCTGGATCAGTTCAGCCTTTCCCTCTAGGCTCTCAGAAACCATAAGCTTCAGCTGCTGGGTTAAATTCCTTATGTCTGCAAGGGCAGAAATTAGGTCACTTCTGTGTTTGAATGTTTAGCAGAGATACTGATTCATTGTTAATCAAACTGGCGATCACAAGTATTAACACTGAATTCTTTGATAAAGCTATAGCGCTTAACGCTGGTAATCATGATAACACTATTAAATATTAACACTATTTTTAAATATTACCACTTTCTCATCATTGAGTTTTTCACATGTTGTAAACATTGTAGGTCATGTAGTCAGGGCTCTTGAATAGGATTTTGAATTATGATATGGACTGTTAAAATTTAGCACAGGGCACTTTCCTTGTTCCTATCACCCTTACTACTCCCCTGGTCTCCGCAACTTCATCTCCTACTGTGTGGCCAGCAGAGGGGGCTATAAGGATGGTGGTAAAAGACCAGTTTTTCTTGGGCTCTTAGGCTTGATGGCTCTAATACTTTGAAAGCTCCAAAAAACATTTGCTAAATTTTGAGGAATATGTTTTATAAAGCCTTCAACAAAAGTATATTTTTATATTTTTAAGGCTCTGAATTCAAACCCCAGTACCACCAGCAAAAAAAAAAAAAAAAAGTATATTTGGATCTGATACAGTACCAAACCCACCAGAAATAAAATTCTTTTTCATTTAGAGGGGAAACTAGCTAATGCAAAAGCACGTGTTGTTTAATTTCTTCATATTGAAACTGAATTGGTAATCTAACTGTTTGTGTGTAATGTTCAGGGCCTCCATGTCTCCTCTGGTGTGTTTCGTAGGTTTCCATCACGTTTTTGCCAAGAGATAGAGGGGATTATGCCCAATTTTGGGATGTTGAGTGTCATCCTGTTAAAGAGCCTCACATGAAACACACTTTGAGATTCCAGCTCTCTGGAAAAGTGAGTATTATACTGGAGTTAAGCAAAATATTGTGTATAGTTAAAAACTCATAAGTGAAACTGACATGAACAATGCCTGAAAATGCAAACATTTTCCTGATATTACTTCACTTTCACTAATTCTATTGTATAGCCCCATATCTTAATTTTCTTGTCTGTTTTTATTAATTGACATGTATTTTCTTTGGGTTTGGCTCTATTCATATAATGCACAAAACCAGCGTTTGAAATTAATTATGTAAGTTAGTACCTGTGAACATGTACGTGTGCATGAAAGAAACTAGGCCAGCACATGAAACAGTTTGCAATTCAGGGAATTTAAAACTCATGTCCCCTTTTTAAATATTTTAAAGGAAATGGTAGAATTCTCTAACAGGCAAATGTCTATATGCTTTCTAGAGTATTTGTTTCTCCTCCCTTTACTGTATGATTTTTCTATACAGAGCATCAGAGCAGAAAATGAGCATGGAAATACATCCTCTTCCACAGATACCCTCATTAAAATAGATAATGTAGTTACATCCCGAAGGCGCACTGTGCCAGAGACTTCTGCTCTCCTGCCTGGGTATGTATGCTGTTCATGTCATTTTTAGGAGTTTCCCCCACACATTATTGAGGTGCAGCAGTGGCAGTAAAATCCTCAGTGTCTTGCCTGTGTGTTTAGTGGGTTGTTCCCACTCTGACCAAGATAGAGAATATTGCTCTCCTTTAGAAAGTTCCTACATATCTCCTTGCAGTCACGATTTGTTCAGTTCTGGTTTCTGTCATAGATTAGTTTTGTTTGAATTTCATAAACATATATACTCTTTGTGTCTGGCTTCTTTCAACATAATGTTTTCTGGGATTCATTCATGCTGTTAAATGTGCTTATGGCTTGTTTCTTTTTATTGTTTAATATTCTGTTATATGAATGTATTGCATTTTATTCATTTTCCTATGGCCATTTTCCTATTGCTATGAATTAAGGTACAATGAGCTAAATTATTGTATGTGCATTTCTGTAGATGTTTTTGTTTATTTTGGGGTTATATCTAAATTTACCCCAAATCACTGTGTCACCAACAAGCATATGTTTAACTTTTAAATAAGCTGCAAAATAGTTTCCCCAAATCGTGTCATTTTATATCCCCACAAGTAACATATGAAAGTAGATTCTTAAAACTTTAAAATGTAAATTTTATATCAACAATTTATACAGCTTTAATGATAATATTTAAGTATCCTACCTAATGAAAATGTTTCTTTCCCTACTTAACAGTTAGGTCTAATTTTATTCTGGGAGAAAGTGCTTGAAAGAAAAATACATGTTAAATACTTGCTAAATTTAACAGATTTGTTCATTTAGTTTCTAATAGAACAATAATGCATTTTTCAGGAAATTAGAGTTCTTTGAAGAATATGTATTCTCAGTGCTCTCTCATTCTGTGCTATCATTTATCCACCTGAGTTCTGACTGCGCAGGGGCACTGAGATGGGGCATGGGGATCACCCTGGTCCTGCCTCCATGGCTCTTTCTGGAGAAGCTACAGCAATTTCCATATTCACACTGGTACACTTGATCACAAACCCTGGGAAGTGCTGGGGGAAGAAAATGGGAAATATGACAGGAACAACTCAGTCTGTGGCATCTGGGAAGAATATCCCTGAAAAGAACCATTTATGTTAAAGATGGGTGACACAGGCCAGGCGAAGGAGGTGAAGAAAGTTGCCAGCCATGCAGAAGACTGTGGGCTCTAGAGCCCTGTCTGGGATAGGAGTGTGGCATGGGAGAGGCTGGAGAGGGGCTTCTGGAGCCACAGCAAAATGGGACAGAGTTGTTCAGAAAGCCTGTTGTGTAGAGCAGACTGATTGGAGGAAGGCATAGTCATGACCGTGTTTCACTAGTCCAGGAGTAAAACAGGGTCAAGGACCAGATGAGAAGGGACTTTGGAGAAGTCTGTAGCAAGAGACCTGAAGACTTCAGTGATGCATATAAGGAGGCAAGAGAGTGTTTTGGTGGCTCCCACAACAGTTCTCTGAGAGGATCAGGGCTGAAGAGAGGGATCACAGGCTTACTTGTATTTGTGGAGCCTGGAATGGCTTGGAGCTACCAGAGAGAGTCTGTATGGTCACTGAAGATGGGGTGTGGTGCACAGAGGCTAAATACAAGCTAAGGTACAAGTCAGGGCATTGTGGAGTTCACCAGGGATGGGACTACCTGAGGGAGAGCATTGTGCTAAGTGGAGAGGTGAGGGAGCAGAGGGTGACCCTGAAAGCTGGGAGTTGCAGAAATAGCATGTGGAACTGAGGCAGAGGAAGTGCTCCCATCACCACATGCTCCACATGCTCCCTGGAGAGGCTCAGAGAAGTCAGTCACTTTGTGACAATTCAGAACAGCATGGCAAGAATTGAGATAAAGGGCCAGCTTGCTATAGTCTGGACCAAGGTGGGTGGGGAGCCAGGCTTTAATGAGATGGGCAGAAACAGTGCTCACAGAGGGTCCCTAACTTCATCATCTTCTAAAAACCTACTTGCTTTGTTGTTCACATAGATTAGATTAGATAAGTGCCATTAGGAAATGGTTTTTAAAGTAACTTGTAGGAGAAAACACAAACTAAAGCAGTACTACATAATTTAAGATATAAAAAATCATTTATTATTACAGATTTTAAACAGTTGTCTTTCAAAACTGTTCCCAATGCAGGCACCTTGACTTGAGTCGCCGTGGTGTGTATGCCCCAGAAGATGTGTATATGTTCCTGCCAACCAGAGTCGGGGAATCAAGGATGCTCAAAGTCAATCTGCGAAACAGTTCTTTCATTACACACTCGGTAAGTTGGAAGCATTACTGTGGGTTTTGAAAAGTAAATGCACTCACTTAGTTTGGGGGAGGTGGCAGCACTGGGGTTTGAACTCGGGTCCCCTCACACTTGCTAGGCAGGTGCTCCTTACCACTTAAGCCATTCCACCAGCCTTTTTTTTGCGATGGTTTTGTTTTGTTTTGTCTTGTTTTGTTTTGTTTTGTTTTTGTGAGATAGGGTGTTGCAAGCTGTTTGCCCAGGGCTGGCTTTCAATAGTGAACCTTGATCTCTGTCTCCTGAGTAGCTAGGATTATACGCGTGAGCCACTGGCACCTGGTTGGCATTTAACTTTTTGATAATCATTTTCCTGATGTAGAAACATATTCTATAGATTATATTTAAGTTGTAATAATGAGTTAACTTTTTTAAATTCCTGATACTGTATTTGGAAAGAAATTTGTTGAAGTTTATGATCTTGTATTTGAAAATCAAAATTTTTGTTTTTATTTTTTAACTTCCTTTTCCTCCTTTTTCACACGGACAAATTTCTGGATAACATTTACTTTAGTCAAAACTGGAATAAACTCATGTTAAAACTCCCCAAATTGTGTTTTCGTTACATGAGCATTTGTTGTCCTACCTAATTTTGTGGCTGTATCTAAATTTACACAATGTGTCTTTAGTTAACAATGTAGGGTATGTTTTGTATATGCTAAAATATCTAATTTGCGTAAGTTCATAAAGTGTTTCCTGTTGAATTCCAGCTGAAGTTTTTGAGTCCCAGAGAGCCTTTCTACATCAAACATTCCAAATACTCTTTGCGGTGAGTTTATCATAAATCCCAATGTTCTCAGGGGTGCAGGACTTGTCTCTTGGGAGTTAGGGGGAGCATGGTCTCCTGTTGGAGACTCCATCTTCATTGCCAGCAGCAAGAGCGTTATGCTCAGAAGAGAGGAAAGAGGCTGCAGGGAGCATTTCATGACATCCGGAGTCACTTAATAGTGTGGCTGCCCCATTGGGGTTTGGATCCAGCATGATTTCTCTTGCCTGCTGCATCAATAGTTTAATTATCTCGTTATTAACTTTTAGAGTAAATCATGTTTCATATGCTGTATATTGAGAACTAAAGATTTAAATTTTCACTAATTGGGACCAAACACCTCCAATTAAGTGGGAAAACTTTTATTGTATTTTCTGATTGTCATCCTTCAAGTACCCTTATTATTCTTAAATCAGGGCCTTGCTTTTGTTTTCTCCTCTCCCTGGAAGTGAATGAGTTATTGGTGTCATTGATGATGGAAATTAACCAAGGTCTTGACAGATATTCAGGAATGGGAAACAGTCTTTTGTTGCTTTGATCTGCTCTCTCTTCCTTATTTTCTTGTCATCCTTGCAAATGGTCTTTGTCTATAGAACAATTAGGTTGAACTCTCAAACAGGGTTAGCACTGTCATTTAGAATTTAACAGTAGAGTTCTATTGGGTTTAAGACTGAAGAATAATTTTAACTTCATCTTGAATCTTTAAGCCACTTAATTATTTTAAGAACTAGAGAACTAGTCTAGAAACATGTCCTGCTTGAAAATTTGGACCACTTGCAAATATTCTAGGACTGTCTTCTACTGAGTTATTAAGACAAGCATTGCTCTTCAATTGAAGTTTACCCAGATTTCTAGAATTCTGGAAGATGAGTTGGTTGAGGACTGTTCTCTACACTCTACCCCTTCTTTTCACTCCTTTCTCCCTTCCATCACCCCTTCTCCTCCACTTTGTACTATCAGACATGTTTATCTACTTGTGTATTAAACACTTCCTTTGCCTCACAGGAGTCTGATCTAAAGGCACAAACAGTAGATTTCGGTCCTGCACAGTCAACAATGAATGTATAATGCATGTAGAAAATTACTGCAGTCTTAACCTCTCTATGCCACTGTTTTCTCATTTGCAAAATGGAGATGCTAATGCATCTGATACTGAATTATATAGAGGAGTATTAAGAGACATATAGGCAATACTGCTCAGACGTAGGAAGAAAAGCAGATGTAAGTATCTTCCTCTCCACTATCAAGTTTCTCACTTAGGTGCCTTTTTTTTGGAAGGATCCATCAGCACTATAGAAATTTTGATGGAACATCAATGATTCACATCAGTGCTGCCTCTTTTGATCCCTTCAACACATACATAGAAGAGAGAGGCCCAGGTTTAAAATACAACTAAATCCAAGTTTTCTAGCTTCTGTGCTTTGAGTTCTAGTCTCACAGTGGTGTGAGTCTCTGCAGTTATTGTCCCGATTGATTTGGGACTGGTGGTGCTACAGTGTTTATGGTAATAGGTTGGTGCTACTGAATACATGGTAGTACAACTGCAGAGGTGCTTCGTTTGTTCAAAAAGAGACCATTTAAATCCCTAAATGTGGTGACTGAGTACTAATACTGAATAAAGTATCTATCCTGATCATAGTTATTATCTTAATTCAAATTTTATTATAGCTACATTATTAATTCTGTTCCCTACTGATTCTCAGACTGGTTCATATCCCTAATTTGAGCCAGCTTTTTCCAGGTGTACATTTTATTTACTTACTTATTTTATTACTTACTTATTTTACAGTGCTGGGTGAAATCTAGGGCCTTTTGCATGCTAGGCAGTGCTCTACACTGAGCTACATCCCCAGCCCTTGTATGCTGTTGATCAGTGAAATATTTCTGTATAAACTAGCTACAGTATACACCTGTCACAAATTAGAAGGACTTAAAATTTTTATTTTAAGAAGCTCTTATCTTAAAAAAAATAATAACTTAAAGGCTTCCTAAAAAGTTGCATTAATAAAGTTCTCTTGAGCTTGGTATCTAGTTTTTTAAAAACATTTGTGTATATCTCAACTGTAGTTTCAGTAAGGAATCAATATTTAAAACAACTGGTTAAATTGTTTGTTAAGTTGTTCAGCTTTGTGTCACTGTTCTCACTTTCATAGTTAGAAGTTAAAACCTAGGAGTTAACCTTCATTTTGCAACTTTCCTCATTGAGTCCATGTTCTCAAATTCTCTTGATATTGTAGTCTCTGCCTAATTTGCTTCCATAGATATTTTTAAAATTATATTTAAGCTAAAATTCGTACACAGAATCAGCTACTTTCTTGACCCTTTCCAGAAGAACCTAAGCCTCATCCATTACAATGGTGTTATAGAGGCAGCATCTTTTCTGAGATGAAGAGTAGGAAGGGAACAATTGGTGAAGGAAGGGACAGGTGCAGAGTCAGTGGGTAATCCTTCTGTAACATCTCAGTTCCTCCAGGCTGCTAGAACAGAATCGACTCAGTAGCTCGTAAACAACAGAAATCAATTTCTCATAATTCTGGTTCCTAGAAAGGCCAAGATCAAGATGCTAGCAAACTTGGTATCTGATGAGAGCTGCTGCTTGCTTCACAGAGAGCAGCCCTCTCTTTGTCTTCTTGTGGCAAAAGAGGAAGGGAACTCCCTAAGATCCCATGGCCACGAGTCCGTGACCTAAGGGTTTCAACATAAGAACTAGCAGGTAGGCCACATGTTCAGTCTAGATCCTGTATTACTTAAGGCATTGTATATTTGTATAGTATTGGTATTACCTAAATTGAAATATACTTTTGACAATTAGAATGTCAGAATATTTTCATATTAACATTCAGTTTTTTAATCATCTCGTTTTTTCTTTTTTTTTTGGCAGTACCGGGTTTTGAACTCAGGGCATGACACTTGCTAGGCAGGCCCTCTTATCACCTGAACCACTCCACCAGCCCTTTTTTGTGTTGGGTATTTTCGAGATAGGGTCTTGTAATCTATTTGCCTGGACTGGTTTTGAACTGCAATCCTCCTGATCTCTTCCTCCTGAGTAGCTAGGATTACGGGCGTGAGCCACAGGCACCCTACTAATATCTTTTTTTTTTTTTTTTCATTTTTCTTTTATTATTCATATGTGCATACAAGGCTTGGTTCATTTCTCCCCCCTGCCCCCACCCACTCCCTTACCACCCACTCCACCCCCTCATTCTTCCCCCCCAATACCCAGCAGAAACTATTTTGCCCTTATTTCTAATTTTGTTATAGAGAGAGTATAAGCAATAATAGGAAGGAACAAGGGGTTTTGCTGGTTGAGATAAGGATAGCTATACAGGGCATTGACTCACATTGATTTCCTGTGCGTGGGTGTTACCTTCTAGGTTAATTCTTTTTGATCTAACCTTTTCTCTAGTTCCTGGTCCCTTTTTCCTATTGGCCTCAGTTGCTTTAAGGTATCTGCTTTAGTTTCTCTGCATTAAGGGCAACAAATGCTAGCTAGTTTTTTAGGTGTCTTACCTATCCTCACCCCTCCCTTGTGTGCTCTCGCTTTTATCATGTGCTCATAGTCCAATCCCCTTGTTGTGTTAGCCCTTGATCTAATGTCCACATATGAGGGAGAACATACGATTTTTGGTCTTTTGGGCCAGGCTAACCTCACTCAGAATGATGTTCTCCAATTCCATCCATTTACCAGCGAATGATAACATTTCGTTCTTCTTCATGGCTGCGTAAAATTCCATTGTGTATAGATACCACATTTTCTTAATCCATTCGTCAGTGCTGGGGCATCTTGGCTGTTTCCATACCTACTAATATCTTAATTTTTAACCAAGATGTAGCTCATTCCTTCTGTGTGAAACTGCCTGGATGTAATTGTGGTTTGTTGCTTTTCCTGAAGATTCTGACTACACTGTTATTATAGGGATGATGAGAAATACATTTGTTATCAATAAGATAACATGTTGCTTAGCTTCAGCTTGTTTTCCAAAAGCCAGTTTTGAAATATAAGAAGTGTACACCTGTAATCCCAGCACTGCCTTAGTCTGGCAGGAGGATCACAAGTTCAAGTCCAGCCTGGGCTACACAAGACCTTATCTCAAAAAAATTAAAAAGGCATTCATTCATTATGACCCACTTAAAATTATCCGTTTTTATTGAAATGAGCTATTGACTTGCTATCTCAGTACTAGAAAATGTTAAGCTGTTGTAAGTCAGCACCCCGCTTTTGTATGCAGCCTGGGTCATGTTAATGACATTTGACAGAGCATGAGAAAATATTTTTAAATTCAAGAAATAGTTGGGTAATTTAGGCAAGGTAGCGTTTTAAATAGAATCAGAAGGTACATTTGTTTATATTCTTTGAATATATTCAGCTCTTTTAAAACTTCTACACTTTAAGAGTAATTTTAAATGAGATAATTTTATACTTAGGTAATTCTGATCTTGAGTTTTCAGAAAGTATTGATTGACATTCACTATCATTTTGTAACTACAGAATAAATTTATAATTCTATCAGTTTTAATAGCACAAACTCATTGTAAATTGGATAAAATATGAATGAGAAAATTATGTATATAAAGCACTAATTCTGTGATCTGTGTAACCAAATGACATGAACTCTGGGGCAAAGATTTTTCTCATGGCACATCCACAGACTTTAAATGTCATAGGAAGTAAGAGGGAAAAGCTGGCTGCTTTTAGCTGTGGAGAAGCAGAGCAGAAGCCAGCTGCTGCACTAACTGCATGCTCACCACAGCACTGCAGTGGTGGGTGCTTACTCTCCCTATAAAATCAAGTGTTTTTGTGTTTGTCCCAAACATTGGACACTTTGACATTGGACAAAGGTACTCATAAAATGTAACTGTCCCTTGAGAGCAACAGCTAGCTTGCTTTGTCAGTTGGAACAAGATCTCTGTCTCAGAACCCTGGAAACAGTTCTCAGCCATTTACTAATCATTAGATCGTGGTCTGCTCAGTGATCCCATTAAGGACACATTTCCAGTGGGACCATGGTCACCCAGAAGATACATAAGTAATAATTACCTTACGCAGTGGACGCTTGCCTAGGCCATAAAGTCCGTGGTTGCTGGCTCCATTGCTGTGGGCCTGTGGTGAGGCAGAACTGCATGGTATTAGGAGGACATGGCAGAGCAAAGCTGCTTACCACATGGCAGCCAGGAAGCAGAGAGAGAGAAAGAAAGAGAGAGACAGAAGACCCAACAAGATACATCCTTCAGAGGCACATCCCCAGTGACCTACTTCCCAGCTAGTCCCTCCTAATATTTCTACCACCTTGAAATAATGGCATTAAATTATGAATACGTCAGTGGATTAATGCATCCAGTCAGTCAGAACCTCATGATTCAATCACCTCTGCATGACTGGATCCACCAGCTAGGGACCAAACCTTCAACACACGGTCCCTTTGGGGGACACTTCATATTAAAACCATAACAATTTTTAAACACTTTCTTATTTGGAAGAGAACAATTCTCCCATCCAAGTACTAACCAGGCCCAATGCTTCCTACTTCAGACAAGATCGGGCACATTCAGGGTGGTGTGGCCATACGTGAAAGAGAACAGTTCCATATACCATAAAGAAACTTGTTAAAAATGGGCCCTTCCAGAGTTTCATTTGGGGATATCTTATTATTTCTAGTAATTCCTAAATGACGGAGCCTTTTAAGTTGGCAGAAGTATTGAAATGCTAACAAAAAAGAAAATTGTAGTTAATGCCATAGGGTGGGTTTTATTTAAAAAATAAAAGGTACATTTGCTTTTTACATGGTAAAGTACAATGTGTTTGGGAAAGTAACCAAGACTTTAAATAAAATATAGAGGTCAGGGATGCAGCTTAATGATAGAATGTGTGCCTAGTATAGACAGGCCCTGGTCCAATCTCCTCTCCTGTAAAAAAAAAAATAATAAAATATATACACTTGTATAGATAGTGGTGGAGATTAACATAGATGTTTACTATATGTAGGTATGTACATACAGTTTCCTGTATCCGTGCCTTCTTCACCATCCACAGATTACATCTGTACTGAACACGTACAGACTTTTTCTCCCATTATTCCCTAAGCCATACAGTACGCTGTTCACATAGCATTTACACTGTATAGGTATTATACTGGCAAAATGTATGGGAGGATGAGCATATGTAGTGTATAAACTCTATGCTATTTTAAATAAGGACTTGACCATCCCCCTATTTGGTTTCCATGAGGGTCATAGAACCCCAGTCCCTGTGGATACCGAGGGACAACAGCAAATGCTAAAGGTACATATCTGTGCCATTGGGTATATCCAGGAGAGGGCCTTGGAAATATTTAAATTCTTTCCTAAATCTCTGGCCCAACTACTGTTCTACATCCAAAAGCCAACACTACATACTGGGTTTCATCAGGGAGACATTGGGAAGTATATGTTACTTCTGATGGCCACACCTTAAAGCCCTGAGAAGAGACTGAGAGATGGAGTGCTTTCCCTGTGTTAGACTTTCACATAAAAACAATTAAGACTGAAAGTTGACAGTGTCACATAAAACATAGGCTATGTATAAAGTTTATGCAGATTATTCACAGCCATGCGGGTATATTTTGGGGACAAAAACAAACCTCCCCAGTGCTAGTTTTAAACACAGGATACTTGTTGCCTATCTGTATATAATCTGAAAATAGTTTCATATAAATTTTAGTTAGGAATGAAACAAATTGTTTTAATATTCTTCCCAGTATACTGCCAGAATTGAGTGAAATCAGGTATATTTAGGAAAGTCTCTCACCCTTTCTTAGGAGGACAGCGACCTGCTTTTACAGATGGAGTGCAGAGCCCCACATACAATAAGTCAGACCTTTATTTCCTCTTCTGTTTTTATTGGCTAGCCAGGGATATAGATGATACACTGTTTCAATCCAACTGTATTCTACTCATTTTTTTGTGGTGGGAGGGATTGAACCCAAGGCCTCACATGTACCAGGCAAGTGTTCTACTACTGAGCTGTATGAATTTTAGAGTTTTCTTTCTTTTGTTTCAGTTTCTTATTAAGTAAGAACATCAAAGAAACTAGAGATGTTGGTGGAGTGTGACTTAGATTTTTCATCGAGCCTGTACCAACGTTGGGTTCTGGCTTGTGACTGCTTGTTGTCACATCATATGCTATTTGGTTCTCTCCATAGCGCCCGGCATTATATCCACATCCCCGTGCACTTCAGACCAGAGTCGGCAGGAAGGTTTGAAGCGTTGCTTATTATTCAGACAGATGAAGGGAAGAGCATTGCTGTTCGACTAATTGGTGAAGCCCTTGAAAAACTTAACTAGAATACATTTGTGTAAAGTAAATTGCCTAAGTTATATTTTGTGAACTTCATTTTTCTACACTACAATTATGATGTATATGTTTTGTATGATAAATTTGTTGTATATAACGAGGTTTTTTTTCCGAGAAATCAGTCCTGAAGACCTAACTAAAATATCATGTATCTAGCCCACAGTATTGTATTAACTTTTATAGGGGAGAAGAGAGTTGTATTTTTTGCATTGATTATGATATTCTGAATAAACATGGCACATATTTTAATGTGGTATATCCAGAAATAAACTTAACTTTCCACTGAACTTCTCTTTTTATATGATGTCATAAATTAGAATATTGCTTTATTAAAACTGCTAATTATTTCCAAGTTTCTGAGTCTATTCTATGACTTTTTTCTCTCATTACACAATTTTCTTTCCCCCAAGAAATGCCTTCTTCTGTCTTCTGTGTTTTAGCTGATAGCAGGACCCCTGTATTCCGTGCAGATACCGAAGAAAGGCTGGTAGATTTTCACATGCCACCTTCTGTAATTAAAGGTGGACAGGACAGCTGCCCCTGGATGCAGTGTGGATGGGCCCTTTGCAGACAGATACTGCTGGACTTGGGGTGCAGTGTGAGGAAGGGAGGAGCGTGCTGAGTTGCTGAGTGACTGCTACTCTGACAGTGGCTGATGCTGACCCAGGGGTGTCAGAACCCAGCTAACCGCCTACTGAGAAGCAGCACAAGCTCAGGTTGTGGGCATCTGTACAGTTGTGACTGTGGGATTATAGTTGGGATCATCAGTGGAGTAGAAAGGCCTCAGGCTTGGAGAAGGCTGCCTGAATGACTTAGACCCACCCACAAATCTCTTCTTTCCTCTTCTGTAATTTTTATCTTGCCTAGAAATTCTTGCTTAGAAACAAAATTTGCAAAAACATTTTTCACAAGTTAAAGTGGTGCTTTTCTTGACATCTGACTCTTGGAGGTTTTGAATGTCACATGTGACATGACGTCATGCTTGAATGTTTATTTATTTGACAACACTCAGCCTCAAAAGTTTTAAAACTGGTGTGTGTTTTTAAAATGTTTGCATATGGTGTTTCAGTTCTTAAGGTTGCAATGTCTTGTTCCAGGTAACCATTGCTTTACCTTTCAGGTTATATTCTGGAGGCCAAAAAAAAGAAACAATACTTTTACAACGATTTCTTTTTTCCAGATCTGCAGTTCTTGTGCTTTCTTGTCTTGGAAATGTGATGCCTGGAGTTTTCAGAGCGCTTGATTCCTGACCACTCAGCACTGAGGCTACTGCAGGCCACTGGTCAACTTCCTCAGAGTTGCTGTTGTGGAAGTGGCAGGCTCCTGTGCAAGGGTTCCTCAGTCACCTTTTCATCTGCCTGCCTACACTGAGGTCTCCAGTCGTCTCTCCTCTAGGCTCCAGGCTCATGTGTCCCTTTGGTTGTGGAACAGGCATCTCAGATTTTTGGTTCCCTGCCACAGGCTTCTCCCTAGCTCTCCTTGCCTCATTAATGTCACACTGTTATCCATTAGTGGGCCAAAACCCTAGGTTTGGTGTCTTGTCTTCATCTCTCATCAGCTCTGAGAGGCATGTCTGAACTAAGCCCACTGCAGTCCATCACCACTGCTTGCTGTGGTAGCCCGTGCTGCAGTCATTTTCCCATCAGGCTGCTCTTAGCACCCTCTCACCACAGTGGCCCAGCAACATGCTAACAACGTAGACGAGAGCCTGCGCACCCCTGCTTGTCTGTGCACATGACTTCTCTGTTGTGAAGTTTCCCTGGGGCCCGTGGGAGGCCCTTTGTGACAGGGCTCTGCTTGCCTCTCAAGGATTCGCCCAATGTCCCCAGCTGTGCTGACCTCGGGTTCCAACTGAGTCAAGTTCCATCCCTGTCTAAAGCTCTTCACCAGAGTTTTACCAGCCAGTCTCTCATCCCTCAGGCCTTTCCTGATCATCTCTCCAGGACTAGTTAGTGCCTGACTTCCTCCTCGCAGTGCCTCATTTGCACACAGTCCTGTCTCCACTGGTGCTTTCAAAATTGCTCATATGTCTGCTACTTAAGTGTAGGATGTCGGCTCTGAGAGGCAGAAGATAGGGCCCTCAGTGTCCCCAATGCAGGACAGCACATTAACACAGTATAGATGTTGCCAGTGGCTAGTCACCAGCTCCAGCCACATTCATTCACCCCTTGGCTTTGAAAAGTTCTCTGCTCACCTCCCTGATACAAGCGCCCAGCTGCTCCTCCCGCCCACCCCTGTAAGCTTCTCTGATACATCTAACAGTGAGAGCTAACAAGTGCCTCCTACAAGTCAGTGTCTAAGGTGACTGTAGACCCTGTACCTTCTATGGTGGAGAGGCTGAGAATGAGCCCTTCGTTCTGCTGCAGCCTGTGGGTACCACAATGGCATCTTTTACAGATGGATTTATAGGGGCCCGGCTGGCCTCAGGGTTGATCCTTTGGTAGATGAAGAGACTAAGTTCAGAAAGTTAATTAACTAGACGTTTCAAACCTTGGTTTTACTGACTTGAGTGCCCAGTCACAGATAATAGAAACTACACTTTAGGAAATTAGAGAAAATGTGACATCATGATAGGGCTGCTTTGAAAAGCTGATTCCCTGTTGTAAAGTAGACCTAAAATGGCAAACTAAAGCAGATTGCTGGCTTAGCTCATCGGAGCCCACACAAGGGAGGATGCCTTTCCTGTCCAGGTAAGACATTTTGCAGGTGAGGCCTCAAGTTGTATAGGAGTCGGTGATTAATGTGCATCATTACTGATTTAATTAGTCCAGAAATGAGATTGGGTAAGAGGGCATCTGTTTTTAGTCTTCACTTAAACTCTGAGGTTAGGATGACTTTATGTGAACAAACACGTAGACTTTATGGGACATGGATCTCTGGGTAGAATTGAGCAGTTTCTTATGACTATAAACTTGTTCTTTTTTTATTAAATGACTTTCTTTTCAATTCAATATTTCCTAAATTTTGTTACTTACCATGGGAGATTGTGTTATTTTATAAAGATTTGATAAAAGTCTTGTTCTGAAGCCAGAAATTATTTTCCCAGCCTGTTCCTAAATGGGGTTGTTTTCTGTCTCTTTTCCATTTAGTGAGAGGTAACTCATGAATTTTCTTTCTTTTTTTTTTTTTTTTTTTTTTTTTTTAGTGGCACTGGGATTTAAACTCCAGGCCTCAGGCACTCTACCACTTGAGCCACTCCACCAGTGGAAGAACGAATTCATGGTCCTCTCGAAGGCACACCTCTTGGCCACTGCCCATCTTGGGTATCTGACTGAGTATGATGTCCGGCTTTCATGTTGATTGACAAGCTAGCAGCGGCTCATGTGGCATCTGAATTTTATGCAAGTTGTACCTTTTTAGGTTTGTACTTGGCTTTTATAAATTTCAAAATGCCACTCCGTGAGTTCCTGCTTCTCACCTGTTCATCTGCGTACTGTCTCTTTGTCTTACGTGCTTGGGGACTTCTAGTCCCCAAACCTTTTCCTAAATCTAAAAGTATTACTTCTGCTACTGTGTGCGTGTGTGTATGTATGTTACTGCAGACTGAACTCAGAGCTTCTACTGGTCCTTTTTGTGTTTAGTTTGTTTTTCAGATAGGGTCTGGCACTAACTTTGCCTGGGCTGGCCTCAGACTACAATTCTACCTCCACCTCCCAAGTAGCTGGGAATACCTCTTTACCACCATGCCTGGCTTGTTTGTGAGATAGGGTCTTACTAAAGTTTGCCCACACTGGCCTTGAATCATGATCCTCCTGTCTGTGTGTTCTGAGTCACTGTCTTCTGTCAATATTAACAGGCCAATGACACATTGAAGAAGTGAACCAACATTTCAGGTATTGAGGTTAGTTTTCCATAGGGAAGGATTAGTTTTCCATAGGGAAGGATTAGGTAAATCACTTGTTTTTGCCTTTATACCACCTTCTATATGACTATTCTGGACAGGAGAATGACTAGGTAACTTAGAACTGTTCAAAGCTGTAACGTTCTGGAAAAAAATAAAAGGTAAGTACTTTTAAGGAATGTAGTGGGTGTGCCAGGCAGGATCTAAGATGGCCCAGGATGGCTCCCACCAGTATTCATGGCCTGTGTGATCCTCTCCCCTTGAATAACTCGTTTCTAACCAATAGAACGTCCCCACACTGGTGGAAAGTCACGTGCCAGATTATACCATAAGCAAGAATCTGCCTGCCTACCCTGTTGCTAACAGATGCTCCCTTGCTGGCTTTAATGAAGCAGGTTGCTATCCTGGGAGGCCCAGCCACGTTGAGGGTGGCCTCTGGCCACCAACTAACCAAGCTGAAGCCCTCAGGCCAGCTCCTAGAAGGAGCTCCTAGAAGGAAGTGAGTCCCGTGTGGGACTCAGATGAGACTGCAGCCCTAGGCAACAATGCTCACAGACTTGGGAGAGACCCCAGAGCAGGGGATCCAGCTAAGCTGTGCCCATTCCTGACCCACAGAGATAATAAATGTTTGTCTTAAGCCATAAAGTTTATAATTTTCTATGCAGCAGATAACATGATGGGTGCTTAGTGAAAAAGAAAACTAACCAGTGGCTCACACCTGTAATCCTAACTACTTGGGAGGCTGGGATCAGGGTTCGAAGCCAGCCAGGGCAAACAGTTTGCAAGACCCTATCTTGAAAAAAACCCAACACAAAGTAGGACTGGTAGAGTGAGGGGCTTATGTGGTAGAGTGCCTGCCCAGCAAACACGAGGCCTGAAGTTCAAACCCCAATACTGCCAAAAAAAAAAAAACTTCACAGCAATTTCAGCAAGCTCACTGTCAGCAACACTGGTAAATAATTACATATGAAATCCAGAGATAATCCAACAACTTGATCTTTTCAAGATTAAAGAGCTCTCCTTTGGACCAGGGTGTAACTCAGTGGTATAGGGCATACTTAGCTGCACAAGGTCCCAGGTTCCATCCTCAGCACCAAAACAAAAACTCAAAACTCCTTAACCTTAGATAAAATGGGCATTCCATCTTTTGATTAATGTTTTAAATTTCCACCTAGGTAGAATCTCAGTGTACTGGAACAAAGGATCCTGTGAGTTTTTAAATGGACACTAATTTAACGGGCTGTAAGCATTCTGACTACAGTGCGCTGAGGGAAACAATGTGCATGAGTGTGTCACCTGTCTTCTGGCCCTGGCTGAGTGGCCATCCTGTGCTGATGGGGGCTGGTGCAGTGGAGTGCCAGCACACCACTGGCCTCACCCTCAGAGGAGAGCACCCAGTTCAACTCTAGAAGCTGAGGACTGTGCAGCACTGGGCTTTGTACAATATGGCACT